ATATAATTATTACATTTATTGGATTTTGTTTGTGAACAAAGGTGGAGATGTGTTAGGGAAGTAAAGAGTAGGGGGGTTAGTCGTTATATATAGGAAGAAACTATCTTATAGATTAGAAATGATTTGATAGTTTCTTCACTCCAAAATTTAAATGTCTCACAGGACAACTTAACCAGAGAATGAGGCTTTAGTAGTTATATAGTTGTGCTATCCTCTATACAGTAAAATGTCTTTTGCGATTCCAAACACTTTTCTAAACTCCAGCTTACGGCCTTGGAAGTCTCTTTATACCACCTCAACAAGCCCGGGGCATTACCTTTATATTTTGATTTCACATTATACCTCCATAGATTTTTAAGAGTGATTTGTCAAAAGAAATCAAATATTTAAATGTCTGGTCCTAAGGATCGGATCTATTTTGTTGATTTACAAGAATAAACAGGATGATTATGGTTTCTTAAAGATATACCCGGTACCCCAGTACAAAGGATATGAAATCGATGGAAAAGATATATAATTCAGTAAGACCTAGGTATATTGACAAGCCCCTAGGTGATAATAATCCATTGAAAAGGAGGGCTTTCTATGTTTGTGGAGGGTAAAATCGAAAGCTCTTGAGTACACTCTGCATCTTGTTCGTTACAATTAAGGTCGAAAGATTACTGGCACATACAATCATTAACATACACCCAATATTGTAAATGATTATAAAAAGCAAATACATTTAAAGTGCACTTGACGATATTTGCTTTCTAGCGGTACCTATGCGCCATAACAATAATAAATTGAAAATAGAAAAAAACAGAAAGCCATGTACAAGTACCCTCTACCAGGGCCACAGAGAGATGTTTTCACTGGATAATGACATATTTTTCTGGCTAAGTCTGTGCACATTTCTGCACTGTGTCTTTTTACAGTGAATTAATGTCTTCAATCAGCTGACGTCTAGTGTAAAGAGTTACCGGTATGTATAGGGTTTCGTCCATCAAGTCCCGCCCAGATTACGATGCTTTTAAAGACTATTTGAATAAATATGTAAATAAAAAAGTTAAAGGTTTTGGTTTTTGCGATTCTAAATGGAATGCTAGCCACAGGAATAACTTCTAAAGAAGATAATCTCTGGGCATGACGTTGGGAGATGGCTTTTTTCATATGGAAATGTTGATTTTTTTTTCACTCTAGTTGCTTGTTACATTAGTAATGCCAAAATTTTCATTATTCGAAAAGAGATGTGAAGGTCGTTTAAATATGTATTCTAGAATTGCCAAAGAAAAATTATAATAATAAATACAATTCATAAATGTTGTTGAAATCATGTACCGGTAGTTACTCAAAAATTGATAGTGCCCAAAATAAAAGTCTTTGCGAATGACTGTTATTCTGCTATGATATCATAGGCTGGCCTTGGATAATAAAGCATAAGCGGCTGATGACAGGGAGTGAAAAAATCTCTCGTTAGCAACGCCCCGTTGTTGCAATGAAAACATACGCGTCGAGGCACGATTTAAAGTCTTTGGCAGCTAGCCAGTGGCCACGTATACAGGAGGTAGTCTAAGGTAGGTGTCAACCTATCAGCATTGACTGCAAAAAGATTAAAAATTGTTTTAGTGTGCTATAGGTAACAAATTTTTGGATTTTTAAACTTAAAATCGATCGTGATGATGGCTTGTCTGACAATAACATTTTTTTCGTCCTTCAGTATATCATTTTTACACTGGCAGCAATCAATATGGAAGCAATCTGCATTACGTCGGGAAGGCGTGCATTTGTTTTTTATCGTTACTACCCATGAAAAATACACAATATTTTCACCGTAAACATTTTTTAATATAAGATAAATTTATACAACCGTTCATTAGAGAGGTAAACAATTTTATCATGCAGATTCGACTACATCAATTACAGTTAGCGTTTTTGATAACTAGCTTGAACTCAATGACGGCTAATTTGACAAAAGCGCAAAAAATCTTTTAAGAAGCGTTTGCTTATTTGTCAAACGCAGTAGAATCCACGCTTGACAAAATTTTATGGAGGTGATCATAAAGCCATATGTAAGAGAAGAAGCTGGGGATTTGATCTCTGTGTTTAGCGCTGTACGTTTGCTGAAGTGATATCCATCGCGTACGTGGCAACAGATGTCAGGGAAAGGAAGAATTACGCATGCGCATAATCAATCGTAAACCAAAGAGAAGACTCACAGTTGGCTTCTGTCCAAGCTGTTTCCTTTCTATGTTGGATAATTTTTTTTTCTCCAACACCTCATTGTGTATAAAGTGACTGCGTTTAAAATTCTTTCACCTAGCCAAGGTAAATATTGACAACGGGTATTATTCTTTATAGCATATCCCTGTGTTTATGCTGTTGTGGTATGTTTACATTTAGGCTACTAGTACATGTCCATGTGTATTGACAGCCTAAAAAAGTTGGTGCTTGTCTGAGCCTCACAGTTGGCTTCTTTCCAAGNGAGAAGAAGCTGGGGATTTGATCTCTGTGTTTAGCGCTGTACGTTTGCTGAAGTGATATCCATCGCGTACGTGGCAACAGATGTCAGGGAAAGGAAGAATTACGCATGCGCATAATCAATCGTAAACCAAAGAGAAGACTCACAGTTGGCTTCTGTCCAAGCTGTTTCCTTTCTATGTTGGATAATTTTTTTTTCTCCAACACCTCATTGTGTATAAAGTGACTGCGTTTAAAATTCTTTCACCTAGCCAAGGTAAATATTGACAACGGGTATTATTCTTTATAGCATATCCCTGTGTTTATGCTGTTGTGGTATGTTTACATTTAGGCTACTAGTACATGTCCATGTGTATTGACAGCCTAAAAAAGTTGGTGCTTGTCTGAGCCTCACAGTTGGCTTCTTTCCAAGCTTTTTTCTTTATAGTGAGTTGAAATTATTTTTATTTTTGTCCAATACCTTATAGTGTATTAAAGAGACCGCATTAAAAAGACTGCATTCAGAAGTACTTTACCCAGTCCAGGCAAATATTGTTAGTTTGTATTAATTGCGTCAGAGTTATTGACAGCTCTAACATTATATTGGAGTGAAATTGTAAAAAATGTCAGAAGTAAAAGTGCTTGTAATATAAATAAGATTGTAATTTTATTAGTCTATTCTTCATTTCATTATATTTTTCCACTTGAAAAGAGAAAATCTATTCTTGTAAGCATACTATACGGCAGTGTAAAATTGTAACCTGCCGGTAGAAGACTTAATACAAAAGTGCTCAAAACCACCAATTTAGCATGATATTATCTGTATTCAGTATCCTACGGAAATTATTTCAGGCATATTTCATCGGCTAGTTTCCACCACAGCTTGCCCGTATTTTAACTTCATTTTGAATTTTTAAATAGTTTGTCGAGAATCTGCCATCTGCCATTTAATACCAAAAGTGAAAACGGAGCGTTTTAAATCATCTTTTATAATGCACAGCCTTTTAAATTTTATGTAAAATACTGCTTCAAACTGTCTTATAAGTCTTGTTTTAAAGTTTTGGTCTTTTAGTTTATAATTTTTAGTTAATTTTAAACACCTTATGATTTTATTAAAGACACATTGTAAAACTTCAACCTTTAGGTTGCGATTTTAGCAAATAAATTATTATTATTATTATTATTATTATTATTATTATTATTCACAGAGTTATTTCTCTTTTTAAAAAGCATGCTCATTTTCGTTGCCCATGGGTTGCGGCTCAAGCATACACAATGTTCCTACGGTCAACGGCAACGATCCACGCAATAACAGAAAATTAGACAAAGGACAACGACGACAAGGGGATCTAGACCAAGGACAACGACGCCAAGGGGAACTAGACCAAGGACAACGACGCCAAGGGGAACTAGACCAAGGACAACGACGCCAAGGGGATCTAAACCAAGGACAACGACGCCAAGGGGACCTAGACCAAGGACAACGACGCCAAGGGGAACTTGACCAAAGACCACGGCGCCAAGAACTACATCAGGGACAACGACCCCAAGGGGAACTAGACCAAAGGCAACGACGCCAAGGGGAACAACATCAAGGACAACAAGATCAAGCAGTACAAGTATTTTTTCCCAGCAATTACACAGGAATACCAGAGGTAGCCGAAACACCACACCTTGTGAATATACTACCCAATCAAGGTATATGTAAAGTAGATGATCTAGTCATATGAATGTTGGTAATCCTGAAATAGTCTCTAGATTTATATTTGTATTTCAAAACTGCAATATCAGTTAGTTGAATCTTCAAGTGGCGCTTATTTTCTCAAAAAGGAAGATGTTTTAACAAAAATCTCTCTCTCTCTCTCTCTCTCTCTCTCTCAGAGTAAAATTCAATTACCTCGTTAGTGAAAGGTCAATTAAGTACGAAATTTATTATCAAAGCAAACAGAATGATGGGGCTATACGTTTCTACTTACATATATACAGTTGTGTAGTCACCTAATTGAATAAGCGACACTATCGCATGAGACATGTGAGGACTTCACTATTCCTCTCCTTATTTTAGTTTTTTATTTCTTTAAACAGAGATATATCTTAGCATTGCGCTTCAAGTAGTTGACACAGGACAAGAAGTTACTGTAGAAGAAGATATTGTGCAATCTGCTAGTCCAGATGATATTAGGTTGAGCATGAGTAATGACTTAGACGTAGCTGCTACAAATATTCAAGTTAGGCAGGGAAGCGTCATCATAGATATGAAAGTCATTGGGTGGGAGTCGCTGGAGAAATTATTGAAAAGCAGTAAAAATGGACAATTAGAGAAGTGTCTGAAAAAAGTGCTCTTAACCCCTGATATCACCAAAGGAAAAGATATGTCTCTGAAGATGCACATTGTAAATGAGGATAAACTGCGAAAATTGGTGAAACTAATGAAGCTACTTTGTGTGAAGGACGGTAAGTTAGTGTAATGTCCTATGAAAATAATTAATTCTAAATAATATAGTACAAGTATTTAAATTTAAAGTTGTTTTTGAAAGAAATTATTTCTTATGAGCATTTATTATCCATTTGATTCATGATTTTTTCATACATTTAATTTGATACCTCGTTTAATATTAAAATCGCCTTTTTATACTTTGAATTAACACTTTTTTTCAGGCAGACAACATTTATAAAAGAAATCCATTTAAATGTGATCATTGGTAAAATACAGTGAAATTCGAGATGACGCACCGAACAGATAAATAGTGATTATTTAATGCACTAGGACACATACTGAGTGCGGAAATATATTTGTCGACTTATCAAAGAATGCTGAAAATGCCATTTAAATGTCATCATTGGTAAAATACAGTGAAATTCGAGATGACACATTGAATAGATGAATAGTGATCATTCAAAAACGGATACGAAATATTGAAAACGCACTAGGACACATGTTGAGTGCGGAAATATATTGTCGACTTATCAAAGAATGCTTTTCTGAATATAAAGTTAAGATAACAGAAAGCGTTGCTTGTAATAACCTTTGTTTCTTCTTCCATCAGCTGAGAAGGGAAATGGGCAAAGTTCCGAGAGCGTGAGATTTACGTTCTGTCCAGAGAGACGCATGTGGTTCTGGACCCCATACCACAACAAACCTATCTGGATGGAGGTAAAAAATTATATGTTTTACCTAGGTCATACGATGCCATAGGTGTAACTGTTTGTAGCTAGTTTACAAAACCAGTTTATACTGTAGCTACACTGTGATATCAGGGGCTTCTAAAATACATGTAAATACAGTAAATGTCTGCCATGCAATAGATGTGTAAGAGTGCATTCAGAACGGATTCAGAACAGACAGACACCAACTGGTCCGCCGACTAAATATGGCCGACCCCACTTAAAAGTGATGCTGCTAATCCCCTGATGGTCTCCACGAGATTTAATCCGTGTGTGAAAGCGGACATGCCATCAGGGAACTAGCGGCATTGCTTTTAAGTGGGTTGGCCATGTTTAGTTCGCAGATCTGTTACTCTACGGATCATATGTTCCAAATGCACTCTAACACACTTCTAGTGCACTTTCTTGTCAGAGAGCAGTTTAAAGCCCAATTACAACGCACAAGTATGTATTTTAACCGTGGCAAGGTGAAGGTGAAGGATAGTTTTACACCTGACCAGTGCATCTGACATTAATTGAGATTTATTTACAGGATTAATAAGACTAATTTCAAACATGTCTTGATAAAATAATGCGCCACCACAACAGATCTTGGGAAAATAGCAATTTAAATAAATTATGATAAGACTTTAATTGAGTTTATAAGTTTTTATTACAAGGTTAGCCATGAGAGAGTTCGAGGCGGACCCCGTCAGGGACATGCTCCTGCAGACAAATACTTGGAGATCATAAAATTTCTACAACAAGAAAAACCAACTTTGAAGGACAATACGTCAGCATGCGTCATATGTGAGTTGTGCAATATGTAAATGAACTGCGCTATGAATTATATATTAATCATCTACATGTGGAAAAGCAGTCAACGATCAATAAAGTTTTCCAGCGTCATTGCTTTTGAAGTATTACTAAAGAAATGATAAAGATCAACTGACAAATGTATCATTTCAAGATCAAATTATTAGGGTTTTAGCACCGCAAGCTCCTGTATTCATTTTCATCAAAGCAAATGCAGAAGAATGAAATATTTTTTCTAATTGTATATGCCCAGGTGATTTGGTAGGCCCGCCTACGAAAATAAGCGGTAGGTCTGATTATTATTATTATTATTATTATTATTATCCTTTAGGGGGATTTTAATCTAAGATTGATTTTTTAACTTTGATTTTTTCATTAAGATATGTTAGTTAATACACGTAGATATGACACTGCCCTGGTATGTATTGATCCTATCATTAACGCTGATTTTTGTACTTTTTAAATTTTAAAATAACAAAAGGCAATTCTTTCACGCAAGATGTCTACAACTAATAATTATCTCAACTTATGGATAATTTTATCCAGAAGAGCTGGGGTTATGGAAACCATACGAAAATTTCCCATAGGTCGTCCTATAAGACTCCATGGGAATTATATCCAATATCTTGTGGTATTCCTGTCAAGGACAAATACCTGACAGAATTCCTATAGTCCCATAGAGTCCTGCGGAATTCCCATACAGTTCTGTGGGGTTCCCATAGAGTCCTGTGGATGTTGGATTCCGGTAGAGTCCCACGTGGACCTATTAGTATAGCACGTCCTATAGAGTCCTATAGTACCCTAAAGGAAATTTTTGTAAAAGAAGCTTTGCATAGTACACCAAACATTTCATTACAGTCAGTCCCCCAAGCGCGGGAACCAAAAACAGGACAACTGGTATGGAAGGTGGGGCAAGCGGGACACAAGAAGTGGAAGATGACCAGTACGTACATGTATATAAATAAAATAGTTGCGATAACCGCTGTTTTGGTAGGAATATGAATTCATTATATTTCTTTGAATTGTTTACAACGTATTTATTGCGAAATATGAAACTCATACCATCAGTTGCTATCTATTTAAATTGTTCCAAACTATGCAAACAATAATTTGCCCTGAACAAAAGCAGAATACAAACAAGTTAATTGGTTGCTTTAAAGCTGTTATTAGTTCATAACATTAATAAATGTATAGCTGAACGTGATAAACGTATTGATATTAACATTGTAGAAATCATTTTTTATCTATGACTCATTTTATAAAGTGTATGGCTTTAACATTGAGTTTTACTGTTTTAACGCGAAAGAAATAGGAAATTCAGTGAACAACTTGAATGTTTCAGAAACATGAGTGTCCCCTTGAATAGAAAAGATAAGCTGAGGGTTTCAAGAGATTCAGGTTATGGCTCACCACGAGACCCTCCGGATGCCTCTAGCGGTGACCAGGGTGAAAATGATTGAGATGATATGGAAGAGTCGCCGGAATTCATTGAACATTCGCTAATAAGTGTTTATAAGTGATTAGTTTTTGGTAGTGACCTTTGATCAATAATCAATCAATAATCAATTATCAAAAATAAAAAACTAAGTTACGGACCGATTTTGATGAAATTTTCAGAAACTATCAGAAGTGGGCCAAGGAACAGATGATTAGTTTTTGGTGGTGATCCGGATCAATAATCAATCAATAATCAAATATCAAAAAACTAAATCATTATAGAAATAAAATTTAGGGGTGAAACGGCATTGGGTGGAGACTTGCTGCCTGAGTTTGAGTCAAGTTTGAGTCTTAAATCCAAAATTGCAACTTGAATCGATAAAAGAAAAAATACGAATTCGTACACTGTAAAAACAGTGTTTAGCATTTAAATACATACAACACACGTTAGGCACCTATACGCATTTAGAAATCTGTGTAAATGCTAAACGCGTATAGCTTTTCAAACGTTTCACAGAAGAAAAAGCTAGACACGTTGGCATTGTTACACGTTTAGCTATGTGTTTAGCTTCACCGGCATATGATTCTATAACAAGTCTATCACAGGCTAAGCACATTGGCTAAGCACTTCCCCTGCTAAGCGCGTGAGGCTGTTAAACATATGGAGCTGCTATAGGTGTGGAATTCCTTAACGCGTGGAGCTGCTAAACAACATGTTTAGCTTTTCAAGCTCGTCACTGAAAAAAATGCTTCACAATCCCATATATACGATCCCATAACAAGTTTATTACAAGATTCAACAATTTTGCTTAACACTTCCCCTTATAAACATATGGGGCTGTTGGAGGCGAGAAGCAGCCTGCTCGAACGCGTTGTGTCCTTCCTTGCAGTAACGTGTGATTATTTAAAATAGGCCTATTAAGTAATAATCCAAATAACAAATAACGTTTTCACGACGTTATCAGCCGGTTACATGATGGTGATGGTATAGAATAACGTCATGGTAACGTTATGGGTGTTTTTAACTCCATGCAAAATGATGCCCTTGCAGTTTTATAAGCGTTTTATAACATTCTGGAAAACATTATTTAATGTTTTGAAAACTTTTTTATTAATCACCAAAACACGTCTTATGCTGTACGAACTACAGTTAGCGGTTAATTCCAAAATGGGCTTGGGTTAGTCGGCGACTAGAGCGGTGCGATTTGAAAAATATTCGAACTATCGTTATCAATATAACCAGCAAGTGATGAAAGCTTAAATAAACCATTATAATGAATACCCCACCGTCATCCTGATGTTCTATTGTTCATTACTTCCGGAAAAAATAAATGAACATCAATACCTTAACGCATTTTATCAAAATATGAAAAAAATGTTTTAAAGTAAAAGTGATAGTTGTTTCGTGTCTTTAGTAAACTAGTGAATTTTCCTAACTTGTTTTTCAGAAATATATTCCAATTATCTTCCTCGCAAGGTCAGCTAACACAGGGATGAATAGGTCCCGCTGTGAAGATGATGGTGTGAATCAACTATGTTGACAGTTCACGGTACCCTGTTATAGATAGAGATAGAGATAGCTATAGCAGTTAAAGGTGACCGTGACTTCGCGCGCGCGCGCGTGTGTGTGAGAGAGAGTGACTGAAACAGTTGAAAGCGTTACAACCCTAAAGGTAAACAAATACACCCTACATTTATTAGGCGTCAAGCACGTCAAAGCGTGTAACATGTTAATAGGCTAAACGTGCTTAGGTGCTAAACGCGTGGAAAAAGTGAGACAAAACAGGCGCTTAGAAATGTGTCTCAGAGCTAAACACTGTTTTTACAGTGTATTATTTGCCAAAGGCCCTACGTAGTAGAAGCGGAAGAAAATTCAAGTGTAGCATTGCACGGTGGTAAGATTAAATTGCCAGAAGAGCGTTATTGTAAATGAGGGAATTAAAGCCACAAAAAGTCATTCGTCTTTGTAATTTTCGATGCACAGGTAACTATAACTATACCTGCTTTACTTTTTGTAGTTATAGTATAGGGATAGAGATCAATGGCCATTCCCGCCTAAGTATCATTTTAAAGACTTTAAAAAGAAATATAATTGACGACGGAGACTTTTTGATAATGATGAGCAATAAGTTGTTGTCAAAATCGATCACTAATTCTAAACTATACCGGCTATTTATGTAAAAAGTAATTTGCTTGGACACACGAGAGCCTGCATTCGTTATCGGGCCAGCTCGTTGTTGTGGTGATCTGATATGCGTCACCTGGCATTTGAACTCGTGACTTGGCATTACCATGGTTTGCTGATGGCTTGGTATTCTTTGCAGCCAAACACGCTACCAACTGCTCCTTGACTGACCCACTCACTCACCGTAAAAATGTCATGCGATTCCAAACACTTTTCTCAACTCCGGCTTACGGCCTTGGAAGCCTCCTTATACACGTACCACCTCAACAAGCCAGGAGCATTACCTTTATTTTTAAAAGTTATTTGTCAAAATAAATCAAATATCTAAATCACCCGGTCATAATGATCGGACCTATTCAGCAGACTTACATGAATAAACAAGTTCGATTTTTAGATTCTGAAAGATATACCCCAGTATGAAGCTAATGAATTCGACCGAAAAGATATATAATACGGTAGGACCTAAGTATATTGACAAGCCCCTAGATGAAAATAATCCATTGAAAAGCAGGGCTTTCTTTGTTTGTGGAGGGTGAAACAGAAAGCTCTTGAGTACACTCTGGGTCTTGTTCGTCACAATGTAAGGTCGGTAAATTACTGACACATACGCTAATTTACATAAACCCAACATTGGATACACTTTTGCATCTGATAATGTTGGTTTTGTTTCCCCTAGTTGCATGTTACACTAGTAATGCCAAAATTCTTATTATTAGAAAAGAGATATGAAGGTCGTTGAAATGTGTATTCTAGGATACATTTCAAGAACTTCAAAAAAGTACAACTAAAATTTATAAATGTAGTCAGCAAAATCGTGAAATTACTCTTAAGTTGATATAGTGCCCACGGAATAAAAGTCTTTGCGAAACATTATTATTCTGCTCTGACATCATTGGCTGGCATTGGATAATAAAGCATAAGCGCGTGGATACAGGGAGTGAAAAGATCTATAGTTAATTGTACATACAGCAACGCCTTTGTTCTTGCAGCGAAAACATAAGCGTCGAAGCACTGATTTAAAGTCTTTGGCAGCTCTCCAGTGACCGCATATGCAGGAGGTAGTCTAAGGTAAGTGTCAACGTATCAGAGTTTTCGCGAAAATTTCTACTGCATCGAATGCAAGGAGATAAAATAATGGCTTAAATATGCTTCAGGAAACAAATTAAAAGTAAAAGTTTGTCGTTCTTCCGTACAACAATTTTACATTATCAGCAATCAGTAAGCATTACGCCGGGAAGGACTGCATTTTTTATCGTTATATCTTATTGTGTATTAAACTGAAAAATACAAAATATACAGTATACACCGTTACATTTTACATATAATTATGAGACAAATGTATGCAGCCGTTCATTACAGAGGTAAACTATTTATCATAAAGGATCAAATACAGCAATTACAGTTTATGTTTCTATAATTAGCTTGAACTCAATGACAGCTGATTTAAGAAAAACGCAAAAATATATTTTAAAAAGCGTTTGCTTAATTTTTCCAACGTAATAAAATCCGTGCTTGATAGAATTTTATAAAGATAATCATTTAAAGAAGAAAAGAAGCTGGGATTTAGATCTGCGTGTTTATCGCTGTTTGCTGAAGTAATATCCACCGCGTACGTACAACAGTTGCCAGGGTAAAGAAAAATTACGCCTACAGGTGCGTGATCAACCGTAAACCGAAAGAATCTTCACAGTTGGCTTTTGTCCAAACCATTTCCTTCGAATGTGGTTGAATTTATTTTTTTTCTCCAATACCTTATTGTGTATGAAAGTGACTGCGTTTATAGATACTTTAACCAGCCCAGGTACTAAAAAAATTAACAGCGCGTATTATTCATATAGCATATCCCTGTGTTTATGCTGGTTGTGGTAGGTTTACATTTATATTGACAGCCTAAAAAAGTTGGCGCGTGTCCGAGCCTCCCAATTGGCTTCTGTCCAAGCTGTTTCCTTTGTATGTGGTTGAATTTATTATTTTTGTCTAATACCTTATTGGTTATAAAAATGATTGTGTTTAAAGGTACTTTACCCAGCCCAGGTAAATATTGTTAGCACATATTATGCTTCTTAGGTTTTTTCAAAAGGAGTTTATGCTGGTTTTCTGTCCAAGCTTTTTCTTTGTATTGAGTTGAATTTATTTTTACTTTTTCTCCACTACCTTTGTGTGTATTAAATAGACTGTGCATGTACTTTACCAGCTCAAATATTGTAAGGTCGTATTAATGTCGCCAGTCTTTCTCATTTTTCAATAGCCCAAACTTTAGATTGACGTGAAATTGTAAAAGAAGGTCAGAAGTAAAAGTGCTTGTAGCGTACAAAAGATTGTATTTTTGTTAGTCTGTTTTTCATTTTATTATGTTTATGGTTATTTTTCCACTCCAACCACTAGAAAAGAGAAAAACTATTCTTGTAAGCGAAATACAGCAGTGTCAAAATGTAAACTATAAGACAAAAAGAATAAGTGCTCAAAACCATTTATTTAAAATGATATTATCTTTATTCTGCAACAGTATTCTATGGAAATTATTTCAGGCTTATTACATCGGCTAGTATTTAGGATTTTTTTATTTCCACCACAGCTTGCCCGTAATGCTTAATAGTATTTATTATTCATTTATATTTAAATTTGGTTTTGAATTTTTAAATAGTTTGCCGTGAATCTTCCATTATTCACAGAGTAATCTTCTGCAATTTTTAAGTTTCCTTTCCTTGATCTTGTTCAATAATTCATGCTTATGTCCGAGTTCCTCAAGAACACTGTCGTTCGTTCTTCTTTCCCACCACGAAATGCGTAACATTCTTCGATAAATCCACATTGCAGCTGCATCTTTTCGTTTTTCCTCCTTTTTTTGATTACTTTTTAATTAAAAATGGGCCATGTAGTTAAAGTTATGGACGAGATCAAACTAAAATGGAAGCAGGATCGAGCAGAGCTTCTAGCAATAGAAATATCAAACAAAGAAGCGCGTAACTTACGCATTGAAAACAGGAAGTTAAATGTCCTTGACAAGACAAAGGAAAAGGGTGGACCCTTTACTTCTTAGGAGGAATTTGATTACTACTTGAAGACAACCAAAGATAGTAGTAAGGAAAAGACACAAAGGATGAGGGACGAAGTCACATGCATCTAGAGACACATCCTTATCACTGCCAAAATATAGTCCTGCCTTCAGGATATTCAATACTGATGGAGGGAAGAGGATGTTAACTCCATAACAGTTTGAAATGAACTCGAAAAGTTGTTGGGAAAAAAAGAAAGAAAGATCCACCATATAACGCTAACTGACTTCCAAAAAAGCATTGAATTCTTAGTTTATTAAATTCTTATTGAATTCTTGTCTTTTTGAACTTATTATGAACCATCATCTAGGTGTTAGATCATTTAGTTTAGTTTTCATATGTATTTAGGCCGTCTTTATGTCAAAATTGTTAGTCACAATGAAATTTGTCCTGACCCCCCCCCCCCCCCCTTCGGTTTCTGAAAAAATTACACTAATATTCCCCTCATGAAATAAGAATTTTGACAAGCTGATTAATAGTTCTTAACCGTTCCATATGGCACCGTTTGCCCCCCAAAACACTCTAAGGGGCCGAGGGTCGGCTTCGTATCCGAGGTCTGTCATTCCTAGCCCCCCCCCCCTCCGTCAAATAATCTTGGATTCGCCCCTTCTATGGGCGCTATTATACGAATTATATATATATATATATATATATATATATATATATATATATATATATATATATGTTTACATTTACTAGTAGGCCTATATTGACAGCCTAAAAAAGTTGGCGCTTGTCTGGGCCTCACAGTTGGCTTCTTTCCAAGCTTTCTTCTTTATAGTGAGTTGAATTTATTTTTATTTTTGTCCAATACCTTACATAGCGTATTAAAGAGACCGCAGTCCAGGCAAATACTGTTAGTTTGTATTAATTTTGTCAGAGTTATTGACATCTCTAACGTTATATTGGAGTGAGATTGTAAAAATGTCAGAAGTTAAAGTGCTTCTTGTAATATAAATAAGATTGTAATTTTATTAGTCTATTCTTCATTTCATTATATTTTTCCACTTGAAAAGAGAAAATCTATTCTTGTAAGCATACTATACGGCAGTGTAAAATTGTAACCTAGAAGACTCAAAACCAAAACCACCAATTTAGCATGATATTATCTGTATTCAGTATCCTACGGAAATTATTTCATCGGCTAGTTTCCACCACAGCTTGCCCGTATTTTAACTTCATTTTGAATTTTTAAATAGTTTGTCGAGAATCTGCCATCATTCACAGAGTTATTTTCTCTTTTTAAAAAGCATGCTCATTTTCATTGCCCATGGGTTGCGGATCAAGCATCAACAATGTTCCTACGGTCAACGGCAACGATCCACGCAATAACAGAACATTAGACCACGGGCAACGACGCCAAGGGGATCTGGACCAAGAACAACGGCATCAAGGGGAACTAGACCAAGGACAACGGCATCAAGGGGAACTAGACCAAGGACAACGACGCCAAGGGGAACTAGACCAAGGACAGCGGCATCAAGGGGAACTAGACCAAGGACAACGACGCCAAGGGGAACTAGACCAAGGACAAGTGCTTGGACAAGTATTTTTTTCCAATAATTGCGCAGGAATACAAGAAGTAGCCGAAACGACATACCTTTTGAACATAGAACGAAAGCCAGGTATTGTAAAGTAGAAGATCTAGTCATATAAAAGCTTAAAATCCTGAAACAATTTCTAGATTTACATGTATTTCAAAATATCAATATCACTTAGTTGAATCTTCAATTGGCGCGTATTTTCTCAAAAAGGAAGATGATTTCACAAAAATCTCTCTCTCTCTCATAGTAAAATTCAATTGCTTCGTTAGTGAAATGTCAATTAGGTACAAAATTTATTATCAAAGCAATCAGAATGATGAAGCTATACGTTTCTACTTATATACAGTTGTGTAGTCACCTAATTGAATAAGCGACACTATCGCATGAGACATATGAGGACTTCACTATTCCTCTCCTTATTTTAATTTTTTTCCTTTAAACAGAGATACCTTTAAGCGTTTCGGTTCAAGTAGCTGACACAGGAGAAGAAGATACTGTAGAAGACGATATTGTGCGATCTGCTAGTCCAGATGGTATTAGCGTTATCATGAGGGATGACTTAGACGTAATTGCTGAAGATATTCAAGTTAAGAAGAAATGCATCATCATAGATATGAACGTTATTGGTTGGGAGTCGCTGGAGAAATTATTGGAAAGCAGTAAAAATGGACAATTAGAGAAGTGTCTGAAAAAAGTGCTCTTAACCCCCGATATCACCAAAGGAAAAGATATGTCTCTGAAGATGCACATTGTAAATGAGGATAAACTGCGAAAATTGGTGAAACTGATGAAGCTACTTTATGTGAAGGACGGTAAGTTAGTGTAATGTCCTATGAAAGTAATTAACGCATATTATAAACAATGCAGTACAAGTATTTTAAAACGGGAAATTTAAAGTTATTTTTGAAATAATTTTTCATTTCTTATCAGCTTTTATTATCCATTTGATTCATGATTTTTTCATGCATTTAATTTGATACCTTGTTTAATATTAAAAGCGTTGTTTTTTAACTTTGAATAAACAGTTATTTCAGGTAGACAACATTTATAGAAAATGCCATTTAAATGTCATCATTGGTAAAATACACTGAAATTCGAGATGACACATTGAATAGATAAATAGTGATCATTCAAAAACGGATACGAAATATTGAAAACGCACTAGGACACATATTGAGTGCGGAAATATATTGTCGACTTATCAAAGAATGCTGAAAATGCCATTTAAATGTCATCATTGGTAAAATACAGTGAAATTCGAGATGACACATTGAATAGATGAATAGTGATCATTCAAAAACGGATACGAAATATTGAAAACGCACTAGGACACATGTTGAGTGCGGAAATATATTGTCGACTTATCAAAGAATGCTTTTCTGAATATAAAGTTAAGATAACAGAAAGCGTTGCTTGTAATAACCTTAGTTTCTTCTTCCATCAGCTGAGAAGGGAAATGGGCAAAGTTCCGAGAGCGTGAGACTTACGTTCTGTCCAGAGAGACGCATGTGGTTCTGGACCCCGTACCACAAGAAACCTATCTGGATGGAGGTAGGAAATGATGTGTTTAATTTGAAATGTACAAATGCCCTAGGATTAACTTCGAATATATATACACGATACTAGATATCAAAAACTTCTAAAATAGTATACAAAATATCTGCCGTACGACAAATGTGTAACAGACTATTGGAGCACCCTGTAGTCGGAGAGTAGTTTAAAGCCCAGTAACGATAATATTTACAGGATAAATTAAAGTTTCAAACGTACCTTGCTAAAATAATACGCCACCACAACAGATCCCAGGAAAATGTCAATTTAGATAAATTATGATTAGTTTTTAATTGAGTTTACAAGATTTTTATCACAAGGTCAGCTACGAGGAAGTTCAAGGCGGACCTCTTAAGGGACATGTTCCTGAAGACAAATACTTGGAGATAATACGTTATCTGCAACAAGAAAAACCGACTTTGAAGGCCAATACTTCGACATGCGTCATATGTGAGTTGTGCAATATTTAAATGAACTGTGCTTTGATTATTTTAATCACATATATACGTGGAAAGTTATTCAATCATCTATAACGTTTCCCAGCGTCGTTGACACTTTCCTAGTATCGTTAAACATCGAGTTTGAGCTAAAGAAATGAAACAGATGTATAATTTCAAGATCAAAATGATATCAAAGATACTAACTATTGCATATTCACCTCATTTGATCGTGCTCTTTGCAGAAAAATGAAATATTTTTTTTCTTATTTTTATGAGTCCAGGTGATCTTGTACCTATTACTGGCAAGGTACCAGAGATCAAATATACAGAGATAACAGGTACGTTTGATTATTATTATTATTATTATTATTATTATTATTATTATTATCCTTTATGGGGACATTTTGATCTAAGATTAAATTTTAAATTTTGATATTTTTTCATTAAGATATTTTGTTCACTTAATTGATATAACAATTCCCTAGTACGTATTGACCCTAGCTTTAACGCCAATTATTGTACTTTTTAAATTTTTAACAAAAGGCAATTCTTTAACGCACGATGTCTACGACCAATAACTACCTCAACTCATAGATAAATTTATCCAGAAGAGCTGGGGTTATGGAAACAATACGAAAATTTCCCATATTTCGTCCTATAAGACTCCATGGGAATTATATCCAATATCTTGTGGTATTCCTGTCAAGGACAAATACCTGACAGAATTCCTATTGAGTCCCATAGAGTCCTGTTGGATTCCGTACAGTCCTGTGGGGTTCCCATAGAATCCTGTTAGATTCCTATACAGTCCTGTGGCATTTCCATACAGTCCTGTGGCATTTCCATACAGTCCTGTGGGGTTCCCGTAGAATCCTGTTGGATTCCTATACAGTCCTGTGGGGTTCCCGTAGAATCCTGTTGGATTCCTATACAGTCCTGTGGGGTTCCCGTAGAATCCTGTTGGATTCCTATACAGTCCTGTGGGGGTTCCCATAGAATCCTGTTAGATTCCTATACATCCCTGTGGAATTCCCATACAGTCCTGTGGAATTCCTATACAGTCCTGTGGGGTTCCCATAGAATCCTGTTAGATTCCTATACATCCCTGTGGAATTCCCATACAGTCCTGTGGAATTCCTATACAGTCCTGTGGGGTTCCCATAGAATCCTGTTAGATTCCTATACAGTCCTGTTGGATTCCCATACGGTCCTGTTGGATTCCCAGACAGTCCTGTGGGATTCCTATACAGTCCTGTTGGATTCCTTTACAGTCCTGTGGGGTTCCCATAGAATCCTGTTGGATTCCTATACAGTCCTGTTGGATTCCTATACAGTCCTGTGGGGTTCCCATAGAATCCTGTTGGATTCCCATGCAGTCCTGTGGGATTCCTATATAGTCCTGTGGGATTCCGGCAAAGCCCCACATGGACCTGCGGCAGGTCCTATAGAGTCTTTTAGTAGCTTAAAGGAAATTTTTGTTAAAAATACTTTGCATAGTACACCAAACATTTCATTACAGTCAGACCCCCAAGCGCGGGAACCAATATCAGGACAACTGGTATGGAAGGTGGGACAAGCGGGACACAAGATGTGAAAAATTATCAGTACGTATAGGCCTATATGTGTGTGTGTGTGTGTGTGTGTCCAAAAGACGGATTTTCCTGGGTTAAACGTTGAATTTCCCATACTTACCAGGTTAATGAATCCATAATGATCCCCTTGCTTTGATGGCAGCCACAGATACCAAAATAATAACATAAACCGCTGTTTTGGTGGAAGAATGAATTCATTATATTTCTCTGAATTATTTACAACGTATTTATTTGAATTATTAATCTCATACGATCAGTTGCTATCAATTTTTAAAATTTTAAAAATTGTTCGAAACTATGCAAACGTTTTTTTTGCCCTGAACGATAGCTGAAATCAAACAAGTTAATTGGTTGCTTTAAAGCTGTTATTAGTTCATAACGTTAATTGAGAATAAATGTATAGCTGAATGTGATAAACGTATTGATATTAACATTGTAGAAATCATTTTTTATCTATGACTCATTTTATAAAGTGTATGGCTTTAACATTGAGTTTTACTGTTTTAACGCGAAAGAAATAGGAAATTCAGTGAACACCTTGAATGTTTCAGAAACATGAGTGTCCCCTTGAACAGAAAAGATAAGCTGAGGGTTTCAAGGGATTCGGGTTATGGCTCACCACGAGACCCTCTGGATGCCTCTGGCGGTGACCAGGGTGAAAATGATTGAGATGATATGGAAGAGTCGCCGGAATTCATTGAACATTCGCTAATAAGTATTAGCATAAGAGTAGAAAACACTAAAACCGCGTTCAGATAAACATATCATAATGGTTGGATCGATCCAGCTCAGCTGTGGATTGTAGCTAAAGTGCATTCAGTGTAATCAGCTTAATTTTCTGATACGCCTCTTTAAATTAAAGAGCTTCCGAGAGCTTGGCACGCATGATAATATTAATTACCCCCTTGCTGGTTTAGGAGGAATGCCATGCATAATTAGCAAAAATTAGTTAGCCAATGCAGATGTTTAGTTGACATTGCATTACACGGAACTAGGACTCCTACACTTTTTTATGTTCAGTGCATTGAACCTCGCCGTTGACGGAATTTTGCACAGTTTATTTATTTTGATTTTGTTGCAAGCAGGAATTGACTATCATATGACCACTGTATGGTCGAGTTAATCATACAGTGATTAGATAAACTTATTTATTTATTTATATATTTAATAACAAATCTAAAAACTATTATTTTCACATGCAAAAATACCCCTCAAGTTCAGTTGTAAGTTAAATGTTAGAGCAAACTCTGAAACTCCATGTTTAAGCCCCGATCCTAAAGCAGAGTCGTAATTAAGAATTTTCCATTAACTTTATTTTGATAACATATACAACCATACCATGTAAACGATGCTAATTACTGTGATACAAAATTAATCAGAGGGGTTTGTCTTTTATATTGTTCTCATATCTTTCATTTTAATAATAATGTTTATATGTGTGATGTTTAAATTAAATTAATTTAATTAATTTGATCTGGGCTCCAGTCAAATAAATTGAAGGCATACAAATTATTATTATTATTATTATTATTTTGAGTCTAAAATATAAAATTGCTTAGTAGATTTTACAATGCAACTTGAATCGATAACAAAAAAGGCTAGTAAAAGAAAAAATTATACTAGTTCCTATTATTTTACAAAGGCCATACGTAGTAGGAGTGGAACAAAATTCAAGTGTAGCATTACAAGGTGGTAAGATTAAAATGTCACGAGAGCGTCACTGTAAAAGAAAAAAAATTAAATCCAGAAACAGTCATTCGTCTTTATAATTTTCGAGATATATATATATATATATATATATACTTTTTTGATATTTTATTTCTGTGTAGTATCATGCAGTATGCTGAGCTAGTGTCTTTCTTGGGATATTGCAACCATTACATGTAGATGGAAAATAAAATATATGGCAATAACAATTGTAGAACATTTTGTAAATAATAAAAATACAAAAAGTAAAAGTACATTAGGGCATATCAAATAGGATATAAAATATCACAAGAGATCTGCGCGCTTTGATATATTAAGCTAAATATAATAATTAAAACTGATGATGATCATCTCCATACACCCTGCCTCTTTATTTATAGAGCCCAAGGCTTGTAAACATGGCGTTTCTATAACGCTTACCTAGCCCCACCTTCAATAACGCCCATAGCAAAATATAAGGCCTGCTGCAAATTCGCAGCAATACCATTCTCATTTTAAATCCCATGTGACTTTTTCCAATCCTCTATTCGGTAGGGTTGGCGCTAAACAAGTCCCACCTTCAATGATTGTTATAATTGTTCAAATTATGCAACAAAGCAAAAATGTTGTTTTATTTGCAACTTTGGATTAATTATGAAATAAATCTATTTCAATTCTGCAGAATACATGTAGGTAGGCCCTACTGTCACATATTGTCTTATAGATGTCCACTCTGGACACCCACTTATCCAGTGATGTTTGTTGTGAAGGTCCCAGTGAAAGAAAAACAGAGTCAGTCGAACTCCAAAGATTCTTTTTATGATGACGACGACGAAAAAGAAGGAAAAAAGAAGTTAAACTCTTCACGCTTATGTTATCCATGATATCACCAGTAGCCGTCGAATCAATTTTATTTGTTCTTGCTCGTTTCCTGAATAGGGATCCGTGCATCACCTGTCAAAAATGGGATAAATTATAGGTATTATAAGGTCTAAAGTTACAAGTTGGCTTGCAACACTCTTGTGCATTCTGTTAAAGTGCCCTTAGGCCAGAAAAAAACTGATTACTTGATAAACGCCTGAGACCATCACTAATTTTGAGAAACTTATGATTTTTGCACCTATCTTCTTTCAATTAGAAAAATTCCATTGGGTATGTGTTTCGCTAATGGTAATAAGTCACAGATGACCCCAGAAAGACTGTTGTATTTACGCTCTAAGATCGTCTGCTGGTTTTGACACTCCCACCCTCCTCCACACACCCCTACAAATAATGTTTGTTTAAACATCGCATGTTTAGATAAATACAAAGTATGAAACTTGTTGCTTGTTAACCAATGACAAGAGGATGAGCTGAAGATACAAACTTGTCGCTTGTTAACCAATGGCAACACTGTGCTGATAAGAACAGTGTAAATTACGAATATATTAACAATGCATTGTATATTTATCACCAATAAAAGCGGATGCCATTGCAGATGTTTGCATATCGGACGCAAATCAGAAGCAATAGAAACACTTAAACCCTGAGACAGAGAGAGAGAGAGAGAGAGAGAGAGAGAGAGAGAGAGATTAAATCAACAAAGATATGACAGTGCAAGTTTCTATAACAATTGTAAATCGAAATGAAATTCAGCCATCGACATAATCATACCAGGATCATCTAGTGCACTCTTAACATGTGTATTGTCATGGTTTGGTTCGGATTCTTGTATTGGTGCTGGTGTTGGTACACGTGACTGAGACGCGTTGCCCATTGACCCACCGTTCGAATTGCCTTCCCCTTCGGGTGGGGTTGCTCTAGATGTTGGGCTGCGTGCTATTCAAAAAGAAAAAATACACGTATATTAAAAAAACTATTTCGATAATGACCAAACTTGAAACAAAACAAAAAGAAAATACATGTAAATCGAAATGAAATTCTGGCATATTTTTTCGACATACTCATACCAGGATCATCTTGTATACCCTTAACAGGTGTATTCTCACGGCTTGGTTCTGGTTCTTGTATTGGTGTTGACTGAGAAGCGTTGCCATTGGGCACACCGTTTGAGTTACCACCCCGTCCTGATGGGGTTCCTCTAGGTGTTGGGTTGCGTGCTATTAAAAAAGAAAAAAATACATGTACAGGGTATACAAAAAGAAAACCTATGCCGATGACTGACCAAATCTGAAACAAAATAAAGTGAAATACATGTAACTTCAATAAAAAAAAGTTCCAGAATCTGAGAGAGAGAGGGAGAGAGAGAAAAAAAACCTATGTCGATAATTGACTTTTGACCAAACAAAACAAAACAAAAAGAAACACATGTAAATGGAAGCATAAATGGAGACATATTTTTTTCGTCATAATCATACCAGGATCATCTTGTGTACCCTTAACAACTGTATCCTCATGGCTTGGTTCTGGTTCTTGTATTGGTGTTGACTGAGAAGCGTTGCCATTGGGCACACCGTTTGAGTTGCCTTCCTGTCGTAATGGGGTTGCTCTAGGTGTTGGGCTGCGTGCTATTAAAAAAAGAAAAAATCAACGTATATAAAAAGAAAACCTATGCCGATGATTGACCAAATCAGAAACAAAACCAAATGAAATACATGTAACTACAAAAAAGTTGCAGTATCCGAGAGAGAGAAAGAGGAAGTAATGAGGTACTAAAAATCTGTAGAGATATGAGAGTGTAAATTCTGATAATAACATGCAATTGCAACTATTCAGACATTTTCGCCATGAATATAACCTGATTATCTAATGTTCTCACATGTTCTGCTGCTAACAGTAGAGTGGCATCCTTGTCTTTACCTGTTGTGTTAAGGAGCGTGTATCCGTTTCCGCAAATTGTGGGGCACACGTTGACATGTGTGGTGCATGCGCATGCGTTACCCATGAATGGATATATTGTGCCTGCTGTTTCGAGAGAAAAATATAAAAAGAAATCCTTTAACTGAGTGTATGAAAAATTATTTACCCACTGTTCACAAGTCTGAGACGAATAAGAAAGCAAGACAATAAAGTTCAGTATATATAAACAATAAGAATAAAATAAAGATGGCAGTGCACAAAATTGGGTCTACCAGTAGTTTATTATGAAGTAATTTTACCTAAACGCTTAACAGCATGATAGCCGTAGATTTTTTTCTACATGTAGGGGTATATACTACTGTTACTGTGGATATTCAGGAAATGTAGCTGGCACATGATTTTAGTCCTATTGGGACTTCCTTGTCACACATTTAAAATTTTCATCTGTGAAAATGAAAAAAAAAATTAAATCTGCAAAACTTCAATACAAATGTTACTAGAACTGCCCATATATCTAAGTGCTTTGAATCACCCCAGCAAGTTTGTGGACAATGTACAGTATAAGGCACATGATTGCCCATTCATTGCGTTGGCAGTGAAAAGTGTTTCCTCTACCAGAGTTTTTCTCTCGTTATTACAAAACAGGATGAAAGTCTGTACATTACTTGCTAACAGCTTGTAGTGAACCATTAATAATACTGATAAGATTAAATTTGCATGTATGTAATTTTCATACTTGTTTAATTTACTCAGATGTATTTAAGCATGGCAGCTTGCATGTAGTGAACCATTAATAGTACAGATATTTAGGTTTCCATAGAATTGTGGCCATAAGTGCATAGAATTAGAGGAATTCCAGTATCATAACCGGTTCATTCGGACCCAAGGCATTTTTATATATGTGCAATGATTTTAGAAATTTAGTTTTAATATTTAAAAATATAAATTTATGTTCATGCTTTTGATACTGATAAAATACGCTTACACCAAGATCTTATTGTTAATTTATTTGTTTATTTTTATTTTACACTTCGACCTTTTTCATTCAGGTCCTTTCCATTTCAAGTGTGTAGAGTGCTAGGGCTGTCAATGCAAAGGCATAAATAGGCTACCAGCACCGAAACCTTTTGACAAAAACGAACAAAATGAATAATACAGAGGATATTGTCACCCTTCGCCCAAAACTTCTTATTTACTGCCTTACGTACATACTTCTGGGTAATAAATAAATCTTCAGTGCTCAGTGACTATATTTATCAACATTTACACATGTCATCTTACGGATGACGTCATAATTGCGATTTTGGGGTAAAAACTGAAAATCGGTTTCTCAAATGTCTCTTTTACCTGAGTACCCACGATCAACGTTTCAACGCCGCTATAATGACACCATTAAATACCCCAAAATCGTGCCAGCGATTTTTCTTAAAAGTCTTAGTTCAGATTTTATCGTTGATAAGGCAAAATAATACCTTTTTTATGAAAATGTGTAATTAGGGGCTCATTACTCCATAACAAAAATAGTTTAACCCAAATGAAGGCACGAGATTCTAGCTTATACATTCGTGGTCAACTTTCTTCATTTTCGTGACAAAAACTTGTTCAGGGCTGTAGTTACCCCTGATACTGATTGCTATCTCACCTCAAAATAGAAAGGTGTTAAGTTGACGATGAAAGCGCTTAGTTGCCAATACTCATACATTGCAACGAAAAAACATAAACATCAATATTTTATTTTTTCGAGGGTTTTTCATTGTTTTAAATCAGCACAAAGATAGATGGATTATTGAATAATTACCCTGTAGATGTAGAAAAAATTCATTTTCGGTATCTAGGTGATTATATAGTGTTACAATGTCCTTAAAATGCTTACCTGGGCTGGATTATGTCTTTCTTATCATAGTCATTTTACAACATAATAGGGTATTAGAGAAAAAGTAAAGATAAATTTAACTCAGAGCAAATAATTGTAAAAATCTTGAGCAGAAGCCAGCTGTGAATAAGCTTCTTTGGGTTTACGATTGATCATGCGCATGCGTAATCCTTCCTTCCCATTACATCTGTTGCTAGGTACGCGATAGATTTCATCTATTATCTTATATGTTGACCGTGTGCATATACATCTCATCAGTGATCCTCTCGTGACCTAGCTCTATCAATAAAAAAAAAAGAAGAAATGCGCCACTTCCCGACGTAATACAAGTTTTTTTGCATAATGAAAAACAACAACCATAACAGCAACAACAAAGGGACCTTGACGTTTAAGGCATTCTTGACAGGCAGATCCTAACTACGATCATTTTTTCAGAATTCAAAAAGCAACATATTTAACTAAATCAAATCAAAGCCATTTATCTTTTTACATCCAATGCAATTGTAATTTCCTCGAAAAAATTTGATAAGTTGACACTTACCTAAGACATACGTAACCTGCCAACGAAGCAAATGGAAAGCTCCAAAAAATCATTAGGGGCTGACGCATTTTATTGACTTAAACAAGAACAGCAAGGCTATAAAACAATGGTGTTGTTGTCACACCGGGCTTGCGACCGCTTGCCGAACGATTTTTTCACTCTAAGGCTAAGACTCTCGTAGCAAATAACCTTGGAGCTGAGATAAAATCCGTCTAACTGCTGGACCAATGCAGGCCAGACGTGTGTGGTAGGCAGGGAGACCATTAGGGGACTGGAGGTAACGCTTTTAAGTGGGTCGCCATGTAAAATTTTGATCCTTGATCTGCAAGTCCACAGATCAAATTGTTCTGAAAGGGCCCAAATACACGTGGAGATGTGCCAGGGTAGTGCTAGTAGGTCAACATGAGTCTGGTGCGGAGTAACAAAAATGTATGGATTTTGGTCACGTTAAAAACGTAGTGTCATTTCATTATCTCACAAAGTCATAAACTGTAAATGGAGGAATAAAAGCCAAAAAAGCTGTACTTATAGCCTCTGACGTAGAGCTCTATGACAATTCTCCCATATCGTTTATGTGGTACCTTTTTGCGCCTCATACGGCAGCTGGGGTGCATCTTCCCCAGGAAGGCGAGAGCGTCTACACCAAGCCTGTATTGTGGCAAAAAATCCAAACTCCCGTCTCAAAGGGACCATTTCCACAGATATTTGGATCGATCTATCTCCCTGAGGAGTCTCACTAAATTGCTGTCAACTTGACCGGCTTCAATGCCTGTCACGCCTAGTAAAGCTGTTAGGGGGTAATTATCTTTACCCCCTAGCTGATTCGGTAGGCGTGACAGACACTTAATGCCTGAAATGTTGTCATCTATTGTAAACAGCTTTGAGACTTTCAGGTGCTTGTGGAGCGAGGTACAAAAGGGACAGGCTTTTCTTTTTTTAAAATATTATATTTTTATTAACATATACTAATGACAGTTTATTTCCATGAACATAAAGTATCCTCTATGCTAAAAGCTAATGTCTATTCATACGACAATAACAGTTATAATTACAATACATTAAAAGGAGATCATGTCAAAGTACATGTATAGTCCCTACGATTTTAAATATCACAATGCATTGCCACGTTTTAAGATGAGGGAAACGTCTGAAATTAGATTGACAATGATAATAACTCTCCATTCCCGCCCTTATTAAATAATTCCCTTGCATTCTCGTGGACCATTCTGAGAATTCTAAATGCATTCTAGATATTCGAACCCATTTTTGTGGTTGGACTGATTGTATTGCTTATGTGCTCATAAAATTTAAGGTGCATTCCAAGTGAAGAAATAGCGAATAGCATTATAGAGTGTAGGACACATTCTAACTGCAATATGGCTACATGCTAAATATTCTTTCAGCTTCCCAACACCATTCAAAGCATTTTCACAGCGTCTAAGAGAAATCCGAAATATTAGCTCAGATTACAAAAATATTTGGGATATATATATATATATATATATACACAAAGGGTTTTCATTCTGGCAGCATTTTATCTCATTTCGCCTCTACAATGACCTCGGCTTTACCGTAATTAGCTAATTTCGAATTCCTTCCCTAATTTTGTGCAAATTTTGGAAAATTCTTCATAACGACTGATTTTGCACGATTCCTGCGCATTCCACATATTAAGTGTGTGATGTTCAGCAACTTCAGTGACGACCTATCATGAATAACAAGTCTGTCAAACTCCTCAGATTTTTTATTATTTATGATGATGATGATGATGATGATGATAAAGACCTCAACAGTTCAAGCCCATGTCATCCATGATATCCCCAGTAGCCGTCGAGTCAAGTTTCCACAAGCTATTGGCTCTCGGCTGAATCCTAGCTACGCGGGCTTATGTCCATTGCCTGAACACAAGTACCCAACGGTGCATCGGGATTAGCTATAAACAATAAATAAATAAAACTTAATCATGCTCATTCACACATTTTTTGTTATACAGCCAAATATGAATAGGTGCGTTCGTACTACTTCTACTGCTGCTGAGTAGCTCACACTCGGGAATCTCATTCCCTAGATATTCGTGTCAATGCATCGGTTCTTATGATTGCAAATGATATTCATAATTACGACTGCAAAAGTATCGACGAAAAATGCTTATTCAAAAGAGAAGAATCATCCAACCCCTAGGGACATCCCGATCCCCACGTGCACGCTCACAAATTTTGAATTGCCTATCCACATCTCTTTTCATCAAGCCCAAAAGGTTTAACACCCCCTTGACTGTCGGAGGAGATGGCTGAAATCACAGAAATTAAGAATCTCCCGCCCCGGCGACAGATGCACTTAAATTCTGAAGTGCCGGGGCCATGGACATCCCTGATGATGCGTCTATCAATCCCCAAAGTTTCAACTTTCTCACTCTAATAGTCATGGCGGCAATACATGTAGCAGAAATTACAAAAGCCCAGGCGCAGGGACACTCGGACGCACGAACTCACGCACACACGCACAAACGCACGGAATAACATGACCCATGACTTTTGTCACAAAAGTGCGGGGATAAAAAAGTGTGTGTGTGTGTGTGTGTGTGTGCGCGCGCGCGCGCGTTCCGAGATATAATTTCCAAACAAAAACAAAAGAATTGTCTAGTGTATACGTACCTTCCGTATTCACAATGTTTTGTGTTTCGTTTACTTCTTGTACGCTATGTTGTGATTTGTTTTCACCTTGCGCTGGTGGCTTACCGCGTGGTGAGTCATCCTGTCTTGGAGATATTTTCTTATATTTACTGGCACAGCAACCCATGAGTACGCCTACAGTGTGTGTCTACTGAAAGAAAAGAAAACGATACGACAGGAAACAAACCATTGAGCAACGGTGTTCACAGATTTCAAACAAAAGAAAAAAAATGTGCATATGAGTATTAACAAACATGTACATGTACTAGTATATTAGTATACGATTCGCGGCATGATGGCCTTGAGGGCATTCCGGTATAAAACGGTTTAGAATTAAACAAATATTCAAAGTAATTTGTGGTTTTTGATCTCTTACATATATTTGGTCTGACGCTGATTAAATTAGTTAACAACAATGATATTTCCTTTTGTAAGTGGAAAAGAAAGGCAGTTACAAAAGATGGTGAAAAAATAAACCAAAGGTGTAAACTATTTACTATTGTGCTATTTGTTTACAATATACGAACTTTGTGCTTTGTGCTTTTTCAATTTCACTGCAGCGTTAAGGCTGCCTTTATAAATATAAACTTAATACTGTCAACAAAGCCACCTTTAAAAAAAAGCTTACAAGAATAATACGCGCTAACAATATTTACCTAAGCTAGGCAAAGTACCTTTAAATGCAGTCCATTTAATATACAATAAGGTATTGGAGAGAAAGAAAAGATGAATTCAACTCCATGCAAAGAAAACAGTTTGGAACGAAGCCAACTGTGGGGCTTGGACAGAAGCCACCCTTCTTTTTTATTTTTTGGACGTTATTTCAGCAATGGTACCTTGTTGAACGCAGACATCCATACCTCAGCCTAACTTGCATGTAACTTAAAATTATCACCTCCATGAATTTTCTTCAAGCTCAGATAATATTGGTTTCACTAATAAAGACAACGCGCACAATAGGCCCTATTTTTTGCATAATTAGTATTTATTAAACATTTAATGAAGGGGCTTTATCGTTTCTTAAAGATAAGTATTTTTTGCAGGATATTTTGACATAAAAATATGATTTAGGGACATTTTCCAACGTAAAATATATTGTACATACAATTGTAATTTACAGTAACTGCAATTGCTTTTTGAACCTAAATTGCGAAAGCGCTACCTGTTCAATTTTCCACTGCCTTTACAAAACTGAGTCTCGCAAACAATCAATAAATGTAGAAGGTGACATTATGACTTTACACCAACTAATGACGTCACTGACGTAAGCATGGAAAATGTTTACCTCTGTGCACTGCAAAAATTGTCCTTCTGGCATGAAAGATTGAAGTATGAGCAAAAATTTTGACTGTGCAGGCCTTAAATGTACGTCTCAAGAGCGTACTTCTATTAAAAAAATCATTTGCACCCCTATCTGATGCAATGCAAGCTGCATTGTTTACATATTGATCGTCGCTAGTGCTGAAATGATTTTCGAAGGAACAACGAACAAAACTTCACAGTCAAACTCTCAACATTATTATTTTTATGGTTAAAAGAGCAACGAATTTGTTACATAGTGCATATCAAAGCTATTTAGTATCTTTTTACTTTCAATGCAATTGAACTTTTTCCGAGAAAGTTGATAAATCTGCACTTACCTAAGACATACGTAACCTGCAAACGTACATGTAGCAACTGGCAAGCTGCCAAAAATTGTTAAAGGGTCTGACGCATTTGTATTGACTTAAACTAGAAGAGCAAGGGTCTTTTAGGCGAGGGTGTCACACGTACCGGGATTGCGACGACCGCTTGGCACACGATTTTTCCCCACTCTTAGGCTGAGGCTTTGACAGTGTTTGATGTCAGCATCATATTCATGCATCAGAGTTAATGAACTTTGAATATTGCAACATTTCTTCTGTTACCTATTTGTGATATGATGGGATGGTCGGCTCATGCCCTGGATAAAATCCCTCTCAACAAAATAACACGATTCTAGGCGAGGCCCCTGGGGACGTGTGCTTTGACTGTGTCCCTTGCTCTTTATAACTTCTTGCTAAAACCTACCTGTATGAGAGCTTTCGGAACACAAAATTAATCAGAGGGGTTTGTCTTTTATATTATTCTCATATCTTTCATTTTAATAATACTGTTTATATGTGTGATATTAACATTACATTTATATAATTATTCTAATCTGGGCTCCAGTCAAATAAATCGGAGGCATGCTATTATTATTATTATTATTATTATTTTGAGTCTAATATCCAAAATTGCTTAGTAGATTTTACAATGCAACTTGAATCGATAACAAAAAAGGCTAGTAAAAGAAAATAATAATACGAATTCGTATTATTTGACCATGGTCCTACGTAGTAGGAGTGGAAAAAAATTCAAGTCTAGCATTACAGGGTGGTAAGAGTTAATTGTCAGAAGAGCGTTACTGTAAGCCAGAAAAAGTCATGCGTCTTTGTAATTTTCGATGTACAGGTAGCTACATGTATTACTATACCCGCTTTATTCTTATGTATTTTATTTGTTATTTATTTCCGTGTAGTATCATGCTGAACTATTGTCTATCGTGGAATATTGTAACCATTATATATATGTAAATGGAAAATAAAATATATGACAATGATAATTGTAGAACATTTTGAACATTTTGTAAACAATGAAAATACAAAAGAAAAAGTAGGCCTACAATTGAGCATATTAAATAGGATTTAAAATATCACAGGAGATCTGCGCGCTTTGACATATTAAGCTAAATATAATAATTAAAACTGATAATGATCATCTCCATACACCCTGCCCCTTTAATTATAGAGCCCAAGGCTTGTAAACATAAGGTTTTTAAACCGATAACCTAGCCCTACCTTCAATAACTCAAGTCCTCAGCAAAATATCAAATTTTGTTGCAATATTGCTGTAAACCGCAATTCCTTCTTTCAAATTTGCAGCAAATTTGCTGTAATATGACTGAAAATTATCAAAAATACATTTTCTAGCAAAGTCCTGCAAATTCGTTGCTGCAATATTGCTGCAGTTTTCATTTTGCTAAGGGTGTCATATATGGCCAATTGGTTTCTGCCATGGGCAATCTTTTTTTATTATAATATATTATTACACTCATAAATTAAACTTAACAATGGATAATACAATTTGCTTTTTACTTACATACATATACACACATATTCACAGACCCTACCATACGACACAAGACGTGTCAACTTCTGTACATACTAATCTTACACCTTCGCGCGGTACTATACACATATTAAATCCTCAGGTGACTTTTTTCAATCCTCTATTCGGTAGGGTTGTCGTTAATCTAATTCCACTCTCAATAATTGTTATAATTGGTCCAATTATAAAACAAAAATGTTGTATATTTCCCTCTTTGGATTAATTATGAAATAAATATATTTTAATGTTGCAAAACACATGTACTGTCCCATTTGCCCTAATGATATCTACTTTGGACAATGCCTTATCCAGTAGAGTTTGTTGTGAAGGTTCCACAGAAAGAATAACAGTTGAACTCCCACGACGCCTTGTTTTTATGATGATGATGACGATGAATAAGAAAAAGAATATCTAAACTCATTTCATGATGACCCCAGTAGCCGTCGATTCAATTTTAATTGTTCATGGTCGTTTCCTGGACCGGGGTCCGTGCATCACCTGTCAAAATACGGGATAAATTATAGGTATTGTAAGGTCTAATGTTCCCATTTGGTTTGCACCACTCTCGCGCGTTCTGTGAGAATGCCATTAAGCTAGACGAAACTGATTAGTTGATAAAAGAGAGAGACCATCACTAATTTTGAAAAAAATATATAATTTTCGCCCCTATATTTTCTTTCAAATAGAAAAATCGCATGGGGAATGTGTTTGGCTAATGGGAATAATTTACAGATGACCCCAGAAAGACTTGTATTTACGCTCTAAGATCGTCTGCTGGTTCTGACATTCCGACCTTCCTCCACACACCCCTACAAATAATGTTTATTTAACCATCGCATGTGAAAAAAAATACAAAGTAGTTCCGTCCCCTGATCTATTACACAGATATGTGTCGCTTGTTAACCAACTAAAAGTCCCGGTCACACTGATGTGAGGATGAATTGAGGGTACAAATTTTCTTTGGATTCGGACTTTCGTTGTCATCCGCAACAGAAATGACCAAAATGACAAATTTTCTTCAGTAGTGTGCTGATAAGAACAGTGTGAATTACGAAAAAATGTATTTTATATGTATTACAAATAAAAGCGGATGCCATTGTATATGTTTGCATATTAGACGCAAATCAAAAGCAACAGAAAAGCTTAAATCCTGACATATCCATAATACTCGCAATACATTATTTTAGATCGTGATATGAACGTGATAGGGACGTTTTCATACTCAATACATGCTCTCCTAGACCTCGAGCAAGCCCGTGAATTGCAGATAAGGGCAGACAACAGTGTATGTATTGCTTATGTATTGCGTATGTTTTGCGGATACTTTGCGCATGTCATTTGCAACCAAAAATCTTGGGCACGGAAAAAAGTAGCCTACCTCTGCGGATAATTCCGGACGTTTGCGGATGCTGGTCGAATGGTATACACATGTATCACGAATATTGAGGATGCTTAGCAAATGTCAACCAATTTTGTGCTCATTTCATGCGAAATTCATCCTAAACGCCAGTGGGACCGAGACTTAATCAACTTTAATTTGGCTATACCGTACCTTCTGATCACGGTGGTGTCTGTAGTCTAGTCTGAGAGAGAGAGAGAGAGAGAGAGAGAGAGAGAGAGACTTGATATGGCGCGTTAAATCAACAAAGATATGACAGCGGAAGTTTCTATAACAACTGCAAATTGAAATGAAATTCAGCCATATTTTTTCGACATAATCATACCAGGATCATCTTGTGTAGTCTTAAAACCTGTATTTTCATGGCTTGTTTCTGATTCTTGAATTGGTGTTGGTACTTGTGACTGAGAAGTGTTGTCCATTGCCCCATCGTTCGAGTTGCTACCCCCTAAATGAAATACATGTAACTTCAATAAAAAGGTTCCAGTATCAGATAGATAGAGAGAGAGAGTGGATATGAGAGTGCAACTTCTGACAATAGTATGCAATTCAAATATTCAGTCATTTTTCGACATGATTATACCCTGATCATCTTATGTTCTCGTACCATCTTTTTTGGTTGGCTTACTTCGTTTTGGTAACAGCCGTTTTTTTTCCTCGTTTTCACCTCCTGTATCAACGTCCGAGGTGCAATTTCCGCAAATTGCTATATGTGCAGAGCATGAGCAACCCATGAATGGATTTATTGTGCGTGTTGTTTCAAGAGAAAAATATATGAAAAGAAATCCTTAGTGCGATGAAAAATAATTGACCCACTGTTCACAAATCTGAAACAAATAGAAAACAAGGCAATAAAGTTGTAAATATATAAACATAAAGAAGAAAATAAAGATGGCAGTGCACAAAATAGTCTTGTTTATTATGAGGTAATTCTACATAACTATATGTTTAACAGCATGACTGCCATATTTTAACAATATACATGAACTACTGTTACTGTGAATATTCAGAAAATGTAGCTGGCACATGGTTTTAGAAACATGGAACTTCTCAGTCACACACTGAAAATTCTCATGTGTGAAAATTAAAAATTAACCAAAAAAATCTGCATAACTTCTATATACATGTTACCAGAACTGTGCGTATATTTTAAAGCGCTATTAATCACTGCAGTAAGTTTGTGCACATGATTGCCCATTCATTGTGTTAGCAGTGAAAAGTGTATCCTCTACCAGATTTTTTTATAGCTATTACAAAATTGGATGAAAGTCTGTGCATAATTTGGTAACATTTACAAAAGGAACTTGGTAGAAAGTATGAAAAAACAACGGTTTACGACGACGGCCACTAGCTCAGACACGGTTGATGGACACATACACGACCACTCAGTCTGTGAATAAAGAAAAGATGAAAAAACATAGAATATTGGCCATAAGTACATGGAAACAGAGGATTTCAACTGTAATAATCGGTGCATTCGACCCTAAAGGCATTTTTTTTTTTTTGTACAATGACTTTAGAATTAAATATAAATTAATGTTCAGTGTAAAACCGGTGCTTTTGATACTGGTTAAATACACTTACACCAAGATCTTTTTGTTTATTTATGCATTTATGTAATTTTATTTTACACTCCGACCTTTTTCATTCAGTTCCTTTCTATTTGATGTGTATAAAGTGTTAAGGCTGATACAAATGCATAAATACCAGCACCAAAGCCTTTTGACAAAAACAAACAATGAATAATACGCGCTTTATCTTGGCTAGGTCAAGTGCCTCTAATCGCAGTAATTGTACTACACAAAAGTCTTAGAGGAAAAATTAACGTTAAATTTAACTCAAATAAAAATTAACGCAAATAAAAAAACTTGAGCAGGGGCCAACTGTGAGGCTTAGACTGTGGGTTTACGATTGCTCATGCGCATAAATGCGTCATTCTCCTTTCCCTGGCGTCTGTTGCTACGTACGCAGAGATGAAAATCCCAGCTTCCTCCCTTGCATATGGCTATAATTGATCCCCTCCATAAATTTCCATCGACCACTGGTACCATTTCGTTCAGTTAATTATGACGACGCGTATTTATATGTGTTTTTGCGTTTTTCTCCTATCAAATATAATTTTGACATTTTTGGTATAAGTAATTAAAAATGATCCCAGTATCTTCAAGAGATGCACTTAGCTAATATGCGGAAATGTTGATTGTGTGCATGTGCATCTCATCAGTGTCCTTCTCATGAGCTACCAGTACATCAATAATAAATTTTAAAAAAATGCGCCTCTTCCCGACTTAATACAAGTTCTTTCCGTAATGGAAAGATGATTAAGTCAAGAACAACAATCAGACCTTCACGTTTACTTGACAATCCCTCTCTATGATAATTATTTTTCAGAGTTCAAAAAGCGTCAGATGTGTTACCTAAATCATATCAAAGCTATTTGTCTTTTTACATCCAATGCAATTGCTATTTCCTCGAAAAATTTTGATAAGTTGACACTTACCTAAGACATACGTAACCTGCCAACGAAGCAACTGGAAAGCTGCCAAAATTATTAAAGGGCCTGGCGCATTTTATTGACATAAACAACAGGCCTAACCAACTACCAGACTCGGCACCTAAGGATCCTGAATAAATCGGTATATCGGACCACACTACCCGTTTTCAAGGTGTGTGGCAGATCGCATTTCGGAGTATCATACCCCAGAACAGATTTTGTAGGACGACTGCGGGCTCATCCACGCTCGGCTGAACAACCTTAAACTGTACTCTTACTTTGGAGTGCTCTATTTCATTGTCTCTATGGGGGTATATGGGGACTTTACGACATTCGGTTTGAATGTTTTAAACACTTTTGATAGGGCTTTTTTGCATTGTATTAGATTTTATGCACCCGGTTTTAAAATCATATAGCAATTAAATACGACAATCGTTTACTATCCAATCAAGGTGACAGCCGAGCGTAGGCTCATCCTGTCGGTGTTCTGACTGATACTCCGAAATGCGATCTGACACACACCTTGAAAACGGGTAGTGTGGTCCGATATACCGGTTAATTCAGGATCCTTAGGTGCCGAGTCTGGTAGTTGGTTAGGCCTGAACAAGAACAGCAAGGCTCTATGGCGAGGGTGTCACACCGGGATTGCGACAGCTTGGCGTATGATTTTTTTTTTTTTCGCTCTTAGGCTGAGGCTTTGACAACGTTTGATGTCAGCATCATATTCATGCATCAGAGTTAATGAACTTAGAATATTGCAAGCTTTCTTCTGTTACATATTTGGGGGTGGTTGGCTCATGCCCTGGATAAAATCCCTCTCAACAAAATAACACGATCCGAGGCTAGGCCCCTGGGGACGTGTGCTTTGACGGCGTCCTTGCTAAAAAGTACTTGTAATAGAGCTTTCGGAACACAAAATTAATCAGAAGGGTTTGTCTTTTATATTATTCTCATATCTTTCATTTTAATAATACTGTTTATATGTGTGATATTTAAATTACATTAATTTAATTATTCTAATCTGGGCTCCAGTCAAATAAATCGAAGGCATACTATTATTATTATTATTATTATTATTATTATTATTTTGAGTCTAATATCCAAAATTGCTCAGTAGATTTTACAATGCAACTTGAATCGATAACAAAAAAGGCTAGTAAAAGAAAATAATAATACGAGTTCGTCTAATTTGACCAAGGTCCTACGTAGTCTAGCATTACACGGTGGTAAGAGTTAATTGTCAGAAGAGCGTGACTGTAAGCCAGAAAAGTCATTCGTCTATGTAATTTTCGATGTACAGGTAGCTATTACTATACCCGCTTTATTTTTATGTATTTTATTTGTTATTTATTTCCGTTTAGTATCATGCAGTTTGCTGAGCTAGTGTCTATCGTGGAATATTGTAACCATTACATGTAGATGGAAAATAAAATATATGGCACTAACAATTGTAGAACATTTTGAACATTTTGTAAACAATGAAAATACAAAAATAAAAAGCACAATAGAGCATATCAAATAGGATTTAAAATATCACAGGAGATCTGCGCTCTTTGATATATTAAGCTAAATATAATAATTAACACTGATAATGATCATCTCCATACACCCTGCCTCTTTATTAATAGAGCCCAAGGCTTGTAAACATGGCGTTTACATAGCGATAACCTAGCCCCACCTTCAATAACTCAAGTCCTAAGCAAAATGTCAGGCCTGCTGCAAATTCGCGGCAAATTTGTTGCAATATTGCTGTAAACTGCAATTCCTTCTTTCAAATTTGCAGCAAATTTGCTGCAATATGGCTGAAAATTAGCAGAAGTAAAACTCATGCAAATTCGTTGCTGCAATATGGCTGCAAACTTTTCATGGCCAATTGGTTTTCCGCCATGGGCATATTAATCTTTTTTATTATGAAAATATATTATTACCCTCAAAAATTAAACTTAACAATGTACAGTATGATACAATTTGCTTTCTACTTATAAACACACACATATTCACAGACCTTACCGTACGACACAAGACGTGTCAACTAATCTTACGCCTTCGCGCGGTACCATTCACATACTGAATCTCATGTGACTTTTTTCAATTCTCTTTTCGGTAAGTTGGCGTTAATCTAGTCCCACCTTCAATAATTGTTGTAATTTATTAGATCATGGAACGAAGCAAAAATGTTGTTTTATTTTCCTCTTTGGATTAATTATGAAATAAATCTATTTCAATCCTGCAGAATACATGTACACTGTAGGTACTGTCCCATATTGTCTTATAGATGTCCACTCAGGGCATCCACTTATCCAGTGATGTTTGTTGTGAACAGAATAACAGAGTCAGTGGAAATCCAAAGATTGTCTATTTTTATGATGATGATGATGATGACGGCGAAGAAGAAAAAAAGAAAAGAAGCTGAACTCTTCACGCTTATGCTATCCTTGATATCCCCAGTAGCCGTCGAATCAATTTTATTTGTTCTTGCTCGTTTCCTTAATAGGAGTCTGTGCATCACCTGTTGAAGAAACAACAAAAGTGAGATAATTATGGGTATTGTTAGGTCAAAGTTCTCATTTGTCTAGCACCTAGCTCTCTTGCGCAGTCTGTAAAATGCCTTTAAGCCAGACAAAACTGATTAACTGATAAACGAGTGAGACCATTGCTAATTTTGAGAAAATTATTATCTTCGCCCCTATCTTCTTTCAAATAGAAAATTGCATTGGGTATGTGTTTGATAAATGGGAATAATTTACAGATGACCCCAGAAAGACTGTTGTATTTACGCTCTAAGATCGTCTGCTGGTTTTGACACTCCCACCCTCCTCCACACACCCCTACAAATAATGTTTGTTTAAACATCGCATGTTTAGATAAATACAAAGTAGTTTCGTCCCCGGATCCATAACACAGAAATGTGTCGCTTGTTAACCAACTAAAAGGCCCGGTCACACTGATGAGGGGATGAATTGAGGATGAGCTGAGGATACAAATTTTCTTGGGATTCGGGCCTCCGTTGTCATCCGCAACAAAATTGACCAAAAAATGACAGTTTTCCGCAATAGTGTGCTGATAAGAACAAAGTAAATACGAATATACAGACTTGACATTTAATATGGAATATTTTTTCCAAATCATAATTCATCAGTTTTTTTCCTATTTTGCTGACTGATAAATGAAAATAAGGATTAAAATCGTGTTTTAATAACTTTTGATAATCTATTCGATGTCAGTGTGACATCAGTTCATTAACTGAATTCGCCAGTGAAGCATACAAAAATACATTGCCTATTTTAAGTCATACGACAACCATTGAAAGCGATATTTTGGATCTCCATATTTTCCAAATTATTGTCTTTAAAAGAGTTACACGTCCCACAAAGGCCCCCCATGTCAGTGTCTAGTCGCAGCAACAGTCGCTGTTACGCTTGACCTCATCTTGCTGCTACCAGAGGTTTCAAGCCGCAAGGTATTCCTTATGATAGGTTTTTAGAGTTTAATCTGAAATAAAATTCCAGACAACGGTTAAAACTTGTCCAATTTGGTTCAGTTTTGTTGTAGGACATGCAGGCCGTTGATACGGCGAGTAATGACCTATGGACATATTGTCTATGTGGTTCAATTATGGTGATTTTGATGACCAAGGTAACTACTCATTCCCTTGGTTCTGTAAGTTATCTGCTATTAAAAGTGCTCTGTGTGAACCGGCAATCTCATCGTGCAACCTAAAATTGTTCCTAAGTTGCCCCCTATCAAATGATAGTCAAGTGGTTCCCAGATTATTCATTTATTTGATCTGGTTCAGGTTTTCATCGATGACTACCATTGGTGTTTTGGCACCAATGTGGTATCCACTCCAAATACTGACACTGTCAATGACCCTGGTCACGTAGGAAGTGGCACACGTTTCGTCGTAGGCCTCTTCAGGATGTCTGTAAACTCTGTTTTGACCAGTTTAGCGGTACAGGTGAAGTTTGACCCCAATAAAGAAATCCACGCGGTTTCTGTGTTCTACCCAGAAACGGTCATGGTCCCCAATTCATTAGAGAAACAGACTACGCTGCTTTGCTGTTTACAGTGGCTTCCTCAGAGGTCATCTGGTATCTTAACCTGATGAAACCAGTTTGGTGTTAGCTAAGAGCCTTGAAAAACGCGTTTTGGTGACAATTTACCCCTCATTCAAAACGGACTGGGTGGTTTTGGTTTAATTGCAGCAGCATATCCTGAAGGACAGTGAGTCCTGTACCCTGGTGGTAAGACGTCAATGCATTGGGCGTGGTCTCTGTGTAGCTACATTAGTCTGGGCATTACTCTATAAAACTGTATAGACCATTCTGTTTGACACAATAATCTGTCTGGCAATGTCTGTGCTTTTCGCGCCATTCTGGCACAGCTTAACAATTTTGTAAAACACTGCTTACTTCATTTTACGCACTGCAAAACCGACCGCTTGCATACAAAATTTCAATTTCTTCTATGCAGTAGTTGCCAATATATGGATACTTTTTTGACAGAACCATGCTTCGCCAAAGCCAAGCTTTGACCAGCCAAAGGAGCACTCCCCAATTAAATTAATGCATATTACACAAGGCCACAGAGCAACAGACTTGGTAGTCAGTTAATTGGCAGCGACACACCTGACTTCACACTTCTCCAGTCAGATGTCTTATATAAGATCTGAATTTTTTGAAAAAAGAAGGCATTTTTACCTAGGTATACCTTTAAAACTGAAATATTCCATATTAAATGTCAAGTCTGTACTAATGATGTGTTGTATATTTATTTACGAATAAAAGCGGATGCCATTGCAGATGTTCGCAAATCAGACGCAAATCAGAAGCAACAGAAATGCTTAAATCCTGACAAATCGGTAATATTGGCAATATATTATTTCAGTTTGTCATATGGACGTGACAGGGGCGCTCTACATATGGTTTACATACTCAATACATACTCTCCTAGCAGGGCCGAAGCCTCCGGGGGGGCAGGGGGGCAGCTGCCCCCCTCCCCTGGGATTTGAGGTGCAAAAAAATAATCGCAATTTCTGACTTCTGATTGAGCAATAAATAACAGCTTGGCAGTTTGCTCAGGCTACGGCCCTGCCTAGTCGTCAAGCAAGCCACAATTTACCTGTAAGTTGCGGATAAGAGCAGAAAACAGCACACGTATTGCAAATGAATTGCCTATGTATTGCATATGTTTTGCGGTTGTATTGCGCATGTCATTCGCATCCCAAATTTTGGGCAGCTCAAAAATCTCGGGAACGAAAAAAAGGATAATTACGGACATGTGCGGATGCTGGTCGAATGATACAAGTATGTATCAAGAATATTGCGGATGTTAAGCAAATGTCAACCATTTTGTGCGCAATACATGCGAAATTCATCCTAACCGCCAGTGGGACCGGGCCTTAATCAACTTTAATCCGGTTATAATGTACCTTCTGATCACGGGGGTCTCTGTAGTCAAGTCTGCTACAAAATTGAATTAAAGGCGAAACCACATTTCTTTAGTTTAGTAACATATAAGGTTCTGTAAACCGACACGCTTTCGAGTGGGTCGTGCCATATTTAATCCGCTGTTCAGTTAGTTCGCGGATCATCATGGTTTTGAACAGCCATAAGCTACTTTATATATTTATTTGTTTCGACGGTTCATGCATGTACTAATTATAGCACAAAAATTCACTCACCAGGAAAGTGAGTGTTAAGAAAACACAACTGATGTTCAGCACCAGGTCCTGAGAAAGAGAAACAGAGAGAGTGGGGAGAGAGAAAGGGGGAGAGACGAGGGAGATTTGATATGGCGCGTTAAATCAACAAAAATATGACAGTGCAAGTTTCTATAACAACGCTCAATTATAAATCAGAATTGAAAACCAGACACATTTTTTTCGACATACAGGTACAGTAATCATACCATGATCATCTTGTGCACTCTTAACACGTGTATTCTCATGGTTTGGTTCTGATTCTTGTATTGGTGATGGTACATGTGACTGAGAAGCGCTGCCATTGGGCACCCCGTTCGTGTTGCCACCCCGTCCTCGTAGGGTTGCTTTAGATGATGAGTTGCGTGCTATTTAAAAAGAAAACAAAAATTCACGTACATGAAAAGAAAACCTATGCTGATGATTGACCAAATATGAAACAAAATAAAATGAAATACATGCAACTTCAATAAAAAGTTCGAGTATCTGAGAGAGAGAGAGAGAGAGAGAGAGAGAGAGAGAGAGAGAGTGATGAAGCGCTAAAAATCTATAAAGATGTGAGAGTGCAATTTCTGATAATAGCATGCAATTCCAACTGTTCAGACATTTTTTGACATGATTATAACCTAATCATCAAATGTCTCTCGTACCATTATCAGGTGGTATCAGTGGAACAGTGTCCCCGTTTCTACTTCTTGTCACAGCGACCGCGTTTCCCCCTCCGCACAATGCGCCGCACGTGATTATATGTGTAGAGCATGAGCAACCCATGAATGGATTTATTGTGCGTGTTGTTTCAAGAGAAAAATATATGAAAAGAAATCCTTAGTGCGATGAAAAATTATTGACCCACTGTTCACAAATCTGAAACAAATAGAAAACAAGGCAATAAAGTTGTAAATATATAAACATAAAGAAGAAAATAAAGATGTCAGTGCACAAAATAGTCTTGTTTATTATGAGGTACTTCTACATAACTAAACGCTTGACAGCATGATTGCGATATTTTAACTATATACTTTTGTTACTGTGAATATTCAGAAAATGTAGATGGCACATGGTTTTAGAAACATGGAACTTCTAAGTCACACACTGAATATTCACATGTGTGAAAATGAAAAGTTAACAAGCAAAATCTGCATAACTTCAATACAAATGTTACTAGAACTGTCCGTATATTTTTAAAGCGCTATTAATCACTGCAGTAAGTTTGTGCACATGATTGCCCATTCATTGTGTTAGCAGTGACAAGTGTATCCTCTACCAGATTTTTTCTCTAGCTATTACAAAATTTGATGAAAGTCTGTACATAATTTGGTAACATCTATAGAAGGCACTTGATAGAAAGTATAAAAAATGACGGTTTAAGACGACGGCCACGAAAAGATGAAAAAAAAACATAGAATTGTGGCCATAAGTACATGGAAACAGAAGATTTCCAGTGTGATAACCTGTGCATTCGGACCTAAAGGCATTTTTATGTACAATGATTTTAGAATTAAATATAAATTAATGTTCAGTTTAAAACCGGTGCTTTTGATACTGGTGAAATACACTTACACTAAGATCTGTTTGTTTATTTATGTATTTAAAAAGATGCATACAAAGTCAATTTTTTGTCACAAAAACCAACCAAATGCCAGCATATAGTTTCAAGTAGTATAACTAAGAGAATTACCAAAAGGCATTGTTTAATTTTACCCGAAAATGATGTTTGAATAGATTTTTCTGCTGGCATTCTAAGCTGTATGTCAATGGGGCAGGAAAGTAGGTCACGGAAGTAGGTTAAATTTACAACCAAAAATTTAAAGAAAGGAGCAGTCTAAAGGTCTTTTATGGCTGATCGAGTGAGCTATTCAGTTTATCCCTTGGCATGTCGAATTTATTTGAGTCATATAAGAATCTAGTAGAAGTGGTTTACATGTGTTACTGGGAATCCACGCTCCACCGATGCTCGGTTCGTATGTACCTTTAATGCAATTTTAGTTTACACTCCAACCTTTTTCATTCAGGTCCTCTCTATTTCATGTGTATAAAGTGTTAAAGCTGATACAAATGCATAAATACCAGCACCTTTTGACAAAATAAACAAACAAAGTGAATAATACGCGCTTTATCTTGGTTAGGTCAAGTGCCTCTAAAAGTCTAATCGCAGTAATTGTACTACACAAAAGGTATTAGAGAAAAAGTAACGTTAAATTTACAGGGTTACTACTTAATATGGTATTTTTTTATCATTGTTATTTTTGAGTGCTGATTAATTTTTTTTTTTTTTTTTTTTTTTTTTTGGGGGGGGGGGGGGGGCTTGATTCATCAAAAAAGTATGTCATTGAGTGATAAAAATATCCAGTCTTCTATTGTGAGATCTTTTGGTCAATAATATCAAATCTGACATAAGATGTCATTCAAAAGAAAAGAACACCCCCAGAAAACCATATCAACAGTTTGATGTCAGTATTAACTTTAAGCTAAGATATTAAAGAAAATGATAGTTTCCGGACAGTGATATGTTACACAGTCAAAGAAATCATTACAGTAAATCATGAAAAGTCATCAATAGCGGGTATGACCTCCAGTAGTGCCCTCATCCAGTGCCTTCATCCTACATGGCATACCCTGTGACAAGTTTTTTAGAGTTTGGATGGATATATCATTCCACTCAGTGATATTTGCCTGTCGCAGTTCATCACTATTTACGGCCGATGACAGATTTTCAATTGGGTTCATTTCTAGGGAGTTTGCAAGCCAGGGCAGTTGCTGAACCCACTGGTTTTGAAGAAAAACAGTGATTCTGCGAGCTCGATGTGGGGTTGCGCAGTCGTCTTGGTACACAAATTTGTTCCTGAACATGACTCATACAAATCGAAGCATTGTTGCTGTAGAATGTCTCTGTAGGAATCCTGGTTGAGGTTGCCTCCTAGAAAAACCAACTGGTTCTGGGCACCGGCATGAAATGCCCCCAAACAGAGACGTTACCACCCCCTGCTTGCACCCTAGGCAGTACACAATTATCGTTTTATGCCTCTCGTACACGTCGGCGGACACGGATTCGACCGTCAACCCTAAAAAACTCCATATCTGGCCTCATCACTGAAAACGACGTGATTCCAGTGTTTTGGCTGCAAACGCAGGTGGTCCCCAGCCCATTGCAGACGTCGCTGTATATGACCTGCTGTTAACAGTGGTTTCCGTACTGGTCTTCGAGCAAAATAACCGGTTTGCAGTAATCTCTTGTTCACGAGAGACCTTGAAACGGGCATTTGAATGACATTCTGCCACTCTTTTCTGAGGACACTGGTTGTATTTGTACATCCAGCACGACGCAGTCTAAGGAGAAGGAAGGCGATCCTGTCTTCTTGGTGTGCTACGCCGACACCCTGGTGGAGGTATTGGAGTAGGTGCCCCTGTTGTAGCATTTCTTTGGAAGACTTTACTAACGGTTCCTGAAAAATGTTAAATTGTTTGGCAATGGCTGTCCGTTTCTGGCCATTTTCTCTGACAGCAAGAGTCCCATAGTAATCTGCGTTGCTTAGCTGTCGAACCATATCTTCTCTAAGGTACCTGTCAAGTTTCAGAGCGATCCCTTTGTTGCTTCTCTAAATACACTCCAAAGATTGACCAAACCCATGCGTTTTATACAAGGGCAGAACTTGCCGAAAAGACCACCCCTCACATTCCTGACTGCATGCATCAGTTGTTTCGAGAGTTGTGCGTTAATTAGGTAACACACTTGGCAACACATGGAGTGACACCTCAGTTTTGGATTTAAAAGAGTAAGAGAGAAAACAAAAAAAATATTCCATATTAAGTAGTAACCTGTAATTCAGCGCAAATAAAAAAAACTTGGGCAGGAGCCAACAGTGAGGCGTCTGTGGGTTTACGATTGCTCGTGCGCATAAATAAGACATTCTTCCTTCCCCTGGCATCAGTTGCTACGTACGCGATAGATATCACCTCAACAAACGTACAGCGCTAAACACAGGGATGAAAATCCCAACTTCCTCTCTTGCATATGGATTGAATTGATCCCCTCCATAAATTTCCATCAACCATTGTTACCATTTCGTTCAGCTAATTATGACGACGCGTATTTATGTGTTTTTGCTTTATTCTCCTATTATGTATAATTTTTACTTTATGGTGTAGGTAATGAAGCCATTAGCTTCAAGAAATGCACTTTGCAAATATGCAAAAATGTTGATTGTGTACATGTGCATCTCATAAAAAAAAAAACAAATGCACCCCTTCCCGACTTAATGCAAGTTGTTTCCATGATGGAAAGATGATTAAATCAAGAACATCAATCGGACTTGATAGCCAGTCATCCCTCACTATGATCATTATTTTTTTCAGAGTTCAAAAAGCGTCAGATTTGTTACCTAAATCATATTAAAGCTGTTTATATTTTTTTACATCCAATGCTTCTGTACTTTCTCTAAAATTTTGATAAGTTGACACTTACCTAAGACGTACGTAACCTGCCAACGAATCAACTGGAAAGCTGCCAAAATTATTAAAGGGCCTGGCGCATTTTATTGACTTAAACAAGAACAGCAAGGCTCTATGACGAGGGTATCAAACCGGGATTGCGACAGCTTGGCGTACGATTATTATTTTTTTTTGCTCTTAGGCTGAGGCTTTGACAACGTTTGATGTCAGCATCATGTTCATGAACTTTGAATATTGCAAGCTTTCTTTTGTTACATATTTGGGGTGATCGGCTCATTCCTAAATTAAAATCCCTCTCAACACAATAACAAAATCCAAGGCTAGGCCCCCGGGGACGTGTGCTTTGACGGCGTCCCTTGCTAAAACCTACCTGTAGGTTTTATCTGTTTATCTGAGGCGCTGTGCGATTGGAAAATTTCTTTCACCAAGTGGTAACTACCTTGGTGTAGCAGGGCTTCAAACGATTACGATTTTCTTTCAACACCTTAATGTCATCCATTTGTCAGCATTTCATGTCACGTAATGATACCATATCAGAGTAATATTAATCCCAAAATACATTTCCCCGGGCACTATCAATTTTTATCAATGCCATGCTTCTATCAGCTACATTATTAATTTCAGACCTTCCATGGTGATGAATTAGATGGAGATTAGGCCTGTATGTGTACCCAGGAGCTTTCACTTTCACCACTCGATAAATACAGAAAGTCCTGTTTTAATAGTTTCTTTTCAGCTAGCTACCTTTTTTATCTGCAGACGTGTCAATATAATGTACTCACGGTAGTGCATTTCTTTTCAATCGATTTCATATCTCTTATACTGAGGTAAAACTTTTTTTAAAAAATCATGAACTTAAGAATCAAAGGGTGGCAGGATCGATTCTCAAAGAACTTTAGTTTTGTAAAAAAAAAACCCACATCTGAATACAAAGATTTTGAAGGTTTTCATTCAAACCCAGAAAAAGTTGCTCGTATCTCATTCAATACACTGTTTTTAAGACTTAGGCTTAGAAGTAAAAGCCCCTCCCTCCACTGACGTAGTTGCATACAGTGGGGTGGGGGTTTGGCGCGCGCTATACCTCCCCCACCTAACGGCTTCTGCGCCTTTGAGATTTCAAACTTCCTTTATCATTTTACGCAGAGCACGGAAAAAACTGTTTTATACGAAGACATCTTTTCTGCCGAATTTCGACGATTAAATGTACATCTACCAGTATTACGGTCTTACTGGAGTCTTTAGATAATATACTTTTATTTCACCGATGTGTAAGACAATTGCACATATTATTATAGAAATACATTCAATCAAAATTATTTGAGCTTTAGAATTCCATTCTAATACCAACAGGTCTTCTTACAATTAATAACTGCTCAATATCCCGCTAGGTACTTCGCATAAACTATTTGATTGGGCCTAGCTTGACAAATGCTCTTTTTGAAAAGGAGGGAAGAAATGAAAAAGCATCAACAGAACGTGCAATGATGTTGAGCATGATCTTCAGCCGGCAACCTGTTTCTCAGTATGTAGGTACACGGTGAGCCGTTGACTAGAAGCAGCATGACTACGCACACTTCGAAGTTTTGGAAACCAGGTAAGCTGTATGATAACACCAGCCTCCCTTGCTAATAAAAGAAAATCAAAATCTGGGGGTACATGTACTGTACTAGTAGGAGGGGAGTACTGCGAAAGCGCCAAAACTGTGTAAGTTGTACTTTTGAAAAGACAGTGATTTACTAGCTGCTTCATATAGTTTCCTTAACCGCAAATTTACAAAGGCTCTATAAGTCAAGGTCAAATGTGGGGCACTTTACTGGCGCCTCGTGCCAGCTTTTGTGACTTAATTTGTGATAATTGTGTGTCAGAAATCTCTTTGGGTCATGATTTAGGGTCAGGTTTCCCATAGTACGAAGATTCATACATCAGCACATTTGATGTTAATATGAGCTATTGCATGGGATATGTAGGACCACATGTGTAAACTGTCAGAGTCCGCTCAAATCTTTTTGCACCTGTCAACATGTCAAATCACACACTGCTGATAAACCAACATTTTTGCATTTGGTAAATGAAGTAAGATTCATGACCTCAACTGTATATGCAAATGTAGCTATCAGCTATACCCTTATGAAATTGTTCCTCTGTTAAAAAAGATTACCATGAACAGAAGTCTGAGTGCCAGAAATATGTCAGCTTACTGTTGCAAGGAGTCACCAACAATAGAAATTGCTGGAAATGGACAACTTGGTCATTCAAGAATTCACTTCTGGGCATGAAACAATCCCTGATGTACCTGTGTTAATATTTTTCAGGAAGTGAGCCACCGGGGTCCACACTTTCTGAGGAAAGGGTGTCCAGCGAGGGTCAAGGGACGTCTGTGGTTTATAACCCATATAGAAACCTTTCTCTAGAACAACAGAGACTGAAACTGCCAGTATTCCAGGTAAATTTCTCTGATATACAAACTACACATTTTAAAAAAATAGTTGATGAATAAAAAACACTCAAATAATTTAAAAGAATGAAAGAAATAGATAAAGAAATGTTTGGGGTGATTATCATATTTTTTTAAAATTATCTATTAATTTTCATTTAAAGCAATTTTGATATATTTCATTCCTACAGCACAGGACCAATATTTTATACCTTGTGGAGTCATACCAGACAGTGATAGTAGTGGGAGAGACGGGCAGTGGGAAAAGCACACAGATTCCTCAGGTAGCTAACTTCAATTAAATCCCTCATATCTTTCTAAGTGCGCATTCTCAACGAATTAAGCCAGGCTCTACAAAGCCGGTGACCTAAAAATGGCGGACGTACATGAAAGAAAAACTGCCTAATCTTTTAATAGTCTCTCCGCCTCCCCACACGTCATCCCTGCGGGGTAAAGTAATTAAATCGCGTCTCCGTTCGCCATGCGGAAGCTACCTGAGAAATATTAAGTGCGCATGCTCATCAGTTAAACTCGTGGTGAAGAAAGCATGGCGGCCATGGCGGCTGAAGGTGATCGAAGGAAAAAAGCTCTTCTGTTCTTTTATCTTTGAAAACANGAGAGAGAGAGAGAGAGAAGGGTGTTGTTATATGAGCTGGCACCACACTACTACCAGTACGGGACGGTAAGTGAGAGAGAGAGTTTTTGCGTGTGTGTGTGTGTGTGTGTGTGTGTGGGTGTGTGTGTGTGTGTTAGCATGTGACTGTATGTGTAATTACTCTCAAATTTCTGTTGCATAATATAATTTTTTTGGACAGTGCAAACTTTTTTTCAGTACCCCCCCCCCCCAACACACACACATACACCCTCCATCATAAGGATGTTCTTTATCATGTACCTTCCTATAAATTTATTATTTTGAGTTTAATTATTATATCAGATACAACTTATTTTCTTTTTTAACCTTAGGACCGAGAGTTGGCAGCTAAGAGAGCAAGGCTGGGTGACAGGTGACACCCTGAAAGGTGACACTGAAAGGTGACTGATGGGGATTTTAAATTTGGAAATATCAGAACAAGATTCCTTGTATCCGGATCAATCAGGACGGTGATTACATCTCAGGGATACCAAGTTAACTGTCAAACCAAAGAACGAAACAGACCGCCCTGCAGACAGAATCCGTACTGGAAATTTTGAGATTTTTTTATCTGTTGGTACCATTTTTGAGAGTGGCACTGAATGTTACATGCAAAAGAGAACGCTGGAGATAATTTGATAACATACGCATGAAAGGTTGCAAGCTATAATGATGAATAATACCAAACAAAGCAGTGTTATCGTATTATCGACATCTCAGTTACTGGTTGTTCATAAAAATAAGGTCAACGGCGACCACTGTATTATAACCGTCATTGTATTAACATCAGATAACAGAGATAACAAGTCCCAAAGTCTGCTAAGAAAGGTGTGTCCATAATTGCATCACAGTCGTCTTAAGCGTTTAAAACTTAATGGGGCAAATTTGACCTCTTTTTCGATACATTGACATACAGCTGTATTGCCTATTGCTCAGACTGACTTAAATTTATAAACGAGAGATAGACGTCAAAACTTTCACACCATACTAAGTGCCAATACCTGGCTTTTGAAAAAACAATAAAAACATTTTTGACTATCATTCTTGCTTTTGTAATCCCTGCAAATATAAAACGCGTACAAATGTAAATAAAAGCCATACATAAACATTTGCAATTGTTATTAATTATGAAAATAACGCATAGTTTTTATTCGGTTGAATAAATAAAATTGTGCCGCGCAATGTTGATCATGTTGATATTTTTGATAACAATCGAGCCTGATGTTTCTCGAGACAACTTTTTAACTGAAAAAATATACGGTATCAATTTATTTATTTTCATGTAATATCCATTTTTATTTCTGCGACAAAGAAATACTTCATGTTAATCTCTTACATGGTATCAATACTGGTGCATAGAAGAATGATAGTATAGAAAAATAAACAATCGAGCACCCTGCACAGTTAATATTCACAGTTCGCAGTCACAACACTAAATAGTTCACATTGCACTGTAAATAGTTATTTTGATATGCGCGTCAAAATGATCAAGTCTCACTATCAATATGATAAATTTCTAAAGAAAACTCAATAACGCTTACTAACTTGTGCAATAGAGCAACCGCTTTGAAATTTAAAAACGTGACGTGGGGATAAGTCGACATGAAAAATCATTCTCAAAAGCTTAATTGGCTCATCTCAGTAGAACTAACTGGTATATTTACATGGGTGCGATTTTTTTCATGTAAATGACCAAAATATAATTGAACTAAATGATGTTCAGTGATGAGATTTATTCTCATCGTAAAGAGTTCGCATTGTCTGCTTGCCGACGCTCCCAAAGATGTCTTCCACCACCAACGTTATAACCTTTGAGTGTGGAATGTCAAAGAACACATTTCGCCGTTCGGAATCCACGTCGGACGCCAGGAATTTCCCGTCGACTTCCAGCGTGTATTTGAACTGTGGTGTGCTGTCGGCTTCCAGCATCCATTCAACGCCGTGGGGGCTTACTGACGTTATCTGAAACGCGAGCTCGCCGCGCGGGAACGTGCAAGAGGCGGAAACGGCAGGAACAAATTCGGATGAAGGTTTTAGTGACTGCGACGGCGACGTACAACCCCCGCTTGCTAAGTAAAAGTGATCGAACTGATTGTGGCGCTTGGAATTGCACGCGAACCCGGCATCGTAAGCGTTCTGGAAGTGCTTGCAGCGTTCCTCCTGGTTCAGTCTGAAACTGGCATTCTTCAGCGCGTGCCACGTGCCGGACGGATCGCGCTTGTAGCCGCGTCTAAAATACACGTGACGTGAGTTCTGACCGCTGCCCGCCCAGTCTTCTAAGAAACACGCCGTCCCCGGGTTAAAGTGAACACCGGCCAAGGGAAACTCCATGGTCACTAGGTGTGTCCAGCGTCTCTTTGACTGGTCACAAACCCAAAAACCAAACCGGGTGTGGGGGCCGCTGTCCCATCTGCGAGTGACTAGCGTGTACCACGTGTCCGTGTCCCAGTGGAGGGTAAAATTCCAAGATTTCATCCCGGCGCCTTCGTTGCCGAACGGGACCACTTCCGTGCCGGGGTCTTGGTACACGGCACGGATCCCCTCAGGGCTTGTGTTGAAGTTGGGGTTCCACAGGGAAAAGATGAAGTTTCTGCCCATGGGGTGGTCTTGTATGCCACAGTACCCTCCCCCACTCTCACCCCCGTTCCATTGGAGGCAGCAGTAATACGTATGGCGTGCGAGGCCCGTTTTGGGAACCATTACCTCATGTACAAGTATGTCCCCCTTGACTCCGGAATCTTTGTACCATAGTGTGAGAGACGGGGCGAAGTTGCCCCCATTGCTCGCTGTCAGTGGTGCGTCGTCGTCGCCTGTCATTTTTTTTCAGTTTTCTACACGTAAACCTCCCACAGCTGTCTCTATCTTGCTGTAATAAGCAGTACGTACATCTACCGGGTATGCACTGAAGTACGTGTAGGTCCACAGTGCCCTTAAAACACTGGCGCCTTCTATAATATGCTGATAATTACATGTATGCTATGTAGCCGTGCCTAATGTCAAAGTGCACGACGTATGACGCTGTTAATTTGAACCTATTTTGCTTGCACGCACACACACCCGTGTAGTGAAAACCAATGTCCCCTCAGCTTGTCGGAGTTGTACTTGTTATACTGGCAGCTAAGAGTCGTACTTCGTGTTCCACGCCCTGACTGCAAATTTCAGGGTGCAGATACAGATTCACGTTGCTCGCAAACGCCCTTATATGACAACGGCATCACATCTCACTCCAAGGTGTTTTCAGCTTGACCTAGTTTATATTAGCCCATAAAATACCAGTCACATGGCGTCACTGTGTTTAGAGTATCCCATTGTTTACCTCTCACGACCGGTATGTTCCTCTCTGCTCGCAAGTCTAACACAATCGTCACACACCGAAAAATAGTCTGAGCCTCTCTCCGTGTGCCTGATAACGTCCATTTGTTTAGGACCAGCGTTGCAATAAATTTTTATGAGTCAGATGTGTGTTAAGTGTAACTTACGACTGCTCGCTACACAACCCTTGTTGAACTATATTTAATCTTGTTCTATTTTTAGCACGACCACTGGCGTGTCGGTATTAGTACGGATCCCAGCAAATCGAGGCATATTTGAGACTAATTCACAAAGGTATCTTCATCTTTAGGGGCAAGGTCTTCGGGCAAGGACCCCACGGCAGAGAGATAACACTTAAGTTCATTTATATCTAGATGCACGAGAACAAATATCAATCTGTTTATTCAGGTCGCACCAGTCGGCTTCACACAGAACAGTCTGAATGTATGCTACGTACAATGCTTTGTACCGTATTGATTGGGATTGCTTCATTCAGCATTATTCATGTCAAAAAATTCATGTGAAAGTTGATATAATTAGAAATACAGCAATCTAGGTCTTTAATTTCCGGGCTTTTGTGTCGAAGGAATATGTTATTCTGCTTCCCACGTGAAAAATACTATAGTATTCTTCTAATATTACAGTAATCTATAAATTATTCAGATACCTGGGAAATGCTATAATCTTCTGGTAACGATATATCAATATACACAATGCACTGTGTTTAAAAAAAGATTTACGCATGTTGAAAAGAGTTTAATGTATCAAAGCACGAATAACGGAAAACAAGCGGCACTTGGTGGCATATGAACTTTTAGTGCACTTATCTGAAAAACAGGCTCCCCCCCCC